TATCCATCTATCATCTATCAAAAAACTCAGATCCCATTATATCTTACTTTTTATTAGCATATTTTTCCATGTGATACAAGTAGGTTCAAAAATGTAACTTTTAAAGTTATTGTCTGATATTCTATCACGTGCAGTTACTATGATTAATTTAACTAATTCTCTATTTTGGGACATTTAGCCTGTTTCCAGTATTTTGCCATTGCAAACAATACTGCATGACTATCCTTCTACCTAAATCCTTAGGGACATTTCTGATATTTTCCTTCGGCGCAGTGATAAGATGCGGAATAACCCACAAAGCACACGGATGTTGGCTTTCAAGTCTCGTTATCAAATACAAATGTCTGCTGCTGTCAATGGCAGAGAAGACTGTCTTTTTTACCCACATCAGTAATTTTCTGTACAAATATTTTTTCTCAATTTTATAGGTAAAGCATGATCGTTTGGTTTTCATTGCAGGTAATGGATTCCTGGTGAGCTTAAATATTTTTTCAGGTTTGCTGTCCATTTGCGTTTCTCCTTGCTTTGCATTTTGCATTCCTTTCTCTCATGTCATGTGTCTCCACTCCCCCACAGAATGACATCCTGTGCTCAGCAGGTCTCTTCCCCCTCATTCCAGACATCAGGGTAGGAGTATTACGGAGATCCCACAGAAGAACTTGGCGACTGTCACCTGCCTTGCAAATCGAACATATGTTAGAAAGATGCACGCTCACAAGGCCCACAGCCAGCTTGGTCAGCCACATCTGTCATTCCTCCCACCAGGAAAGCCGAATTCCTCCCAGAGCTGTAAACCTCACATCTCACTGAATCTCTGGACACCATCACCCAGGCGCTGTGAGATCAGGAGAGCCCGCTGGTAACGACTTAACCAGGTTCCAGTGCACTTCAGGGGTTTACAGGACTGTGCCTCGAAGGAAGTGTTCCCTGCTGCTTTGGGAAAACGGGCAATTGTAAATCAGGTAACAATGAGGCCCTGACTTATTTATCCTTCTACAGGTTTTACATACTAGGGCCAGCAAGGGACACATTTGCTCAGCTCATGGCTGATTTGCAGAGTCAGCACTTTAGGTAAGACCAGCCCGCCTTGCTCAGCAGGACGGCATGTGCTGGGGGCTTTGAGGAACCAACGCACCCTGTGGTGCTGAGGCCTTATCTTGTCTCTTGGTCTGGACCAAATGCCATCTTTCAGAGACATGAGACACAGAATGGGAAGTCACCAAACAGTGGGAAATTCTTCCTCTTGGTGCTAAAAGTGCTTTTTCCCCTCTCTCTCTGGCCTCCTCCACGCTCCTCCTCCTTTAGAGGGAACATTTGCCTGGAGAACAGCTGCACCCTTGTGATCCCAGAAATGATAGGGAACCATTAAAACAGGAACAGCGGCGATAAAAGAAGCTTTCAGGCCTTTGGCTTGTACTAATTAGCAATCAAGGCCAAAGCTGAACCCAATGTCCCATAATAAATTATGACACATCCTTACAAGAGAATATTAGGCAGCTATTAAAAATAATGTTTTCAAAGAATTTTTATGGCACCGAAAACTGCTTATGACATGAAGTGAAATGAAGGAAAGATGTAAAGCCCACATATAGAACACGGAATGCCAATGACCTGAAAGACTACCTGAATATATTATTAAACGGGAACTGTGATTATCTCTGCAGGAAAAATTATGTGTGCATTTTATGTTTTTCTCTTATTATATTTTAAACATTTCCTACATTAGGCACTCGTGGCTTTTGTTTATCAAAAATAAAATAAAATAAATAAAGTTTTTTTTTTTTTTTTTGAGACAGAGTCTCTTTCTGTCGCCCAGGATGGAGTGCAGTGGTGTGATCTCGGCTCACTGCAACCTCCGCCTCCTGGGTTCAAGCAATTCTCCTGCCTCAGCCTCCAGAGCAGCTGAGATTACAGGTGTGTGCCACCACATCCAGCTAATTTTTTTTTTTGTATTTTTAGTAGAGACAGGGTTTCACCGTGTAAGCCAGGATGGTCTCGAGCCCCTGACCTTGTGATCCGCCCACCTCGGCCTCCCAAAGTGCTGGGATTACAGATGTGAGCCACTGCACTTGGCCAAAAATAGTTATTGCTTTTAAAGACTAAGTCTGATGTGAGCTTCCCCAGGCCTTTGAAGATTTTCTATGTTCATTTCTCCCTCCCTCCCTCCCTTTCTCCTTCCTTCTTCTCTCACTTTCTTCCTTCTTCTCTTTCATTTTCGTTTCTTTCTTCCTCTCTCCCTTTTTCTCTTTCATTTTTTCTCTAATTCTTTCTCCCTCTCTCCCTGCCTTCCTTCTTTCCTTCCAGAAAACCAGCAATATTGACCAAAAACAAATTTTTTTTTGAGACAGAGTCTCGCTTTGTTGCCCAGGCTGGAGTGCAGTGGCGCAATCTCGGCTCACTGCAACCTCCGCGTCCCGGGTTCATGCCATTCTCCTGCCTCAGCCTCCCAAGTAGCTGGGACTACAGGCGCCCGCCACCACACCGGGCTAATTTTTTGTATTTTTAGTAGAGACAGGGTTTCACTGTGTTAGCCAGGATGGTCTCGATCTCCTGACCCCGTGATCTGCCTGCCTCGGCCTCCCAAAGTGCTGGGATTACAGGCGTGAGCCACCACGCCCGGCCAACAAATTTTCAACAAGCTCAAGAAGTTGATGGTACTGATGCTGAATGAGGGAGGGGGCTTGGCTACTTTGGAAAAAGCCTGGGGACCCAAACATGGTTCTGCACTGTCCTGCACAATGCTTCTAGGGGGCTAGTTTCAATTTTGGGTGCCAGGTTAAAAAGTATATAGAGAAAACCACCTTCTGCAGAATACAAAAATGACAAAAATATCTTCACCAACAAAAGCCGCAGCAGCAGCTCCACCGTGTACCGGATGCTTATCGTGTGCCAGATCCTGGAGGGAAACATGACCTGTTGTCTGATGTGAGCTTTAAAACAACTCTTTTACGGCTGAGAAATCTGAGTTTACCAACATTAAGTAATGAGGTGGATCTATTGAATCTGTATAAATTTGCCCAGGAAACGGAGGAAGGGAAGCTTTCCCAGGGAAGATCCTGCCTCATCTGCAGATGGGAAGGCTTGGACTGTGGCCTTGGCTGCCGGAACTGGAGAAGCTGGCTGGGAGGGCTGCATTACCACGGGAACTTTGGATGGATTTTCCTGGACAAGAGTGACAATTCAACTCACTTTAGAATTATAGAGGTTTATATTGAAAGGTGTTGGTGACACAACAGACTTAGCTCATGGGAGGCAGAAGGCTGAATGCTCTGGAATCAGGAAGAGTGGGCTCCCAGACAGCCTCAGTGGAATCTACCTTGCAGTCACCCTTGACTGCTTTTTGCCTGACTGGAAGATTCTGTGGCTTGAGATGCCAAGCTTTGTTCAGGCCCATGGCCCCTGTGGGTGACTCTATGGATCATGGGGAAATTGGGTCCATTCTTATCGTTTGCCAGGAATGTGACAGCAGTCGACTGGGCTCCACCTGGGCAGTCCTCCAGTTGGTGGTGGTGGGGGTCCCAGCCAAGGACAGGGGGATGCTTAGCTCAGACTCTTCCACTGGTTAGATGGACTGTTCTTTTTGTTTTGTTTTTGTTTTTTGTTTTGTTTTTGTTTTTGTTTTGAGATGGAGTCTCTGTCACCCAGGCTGGAGTGCAGTGGTGCAATCTCGGCTCATTGCAACCTCTACCTCCTGGGTTCAAGTGATTCTCTTGCCTCAGCCTTCCAAGTAGCTGGGATTACAGGCACCTGCCACCACACCTGGCTAATTTTTGTATTTTTAGTAGAGATGAGGTTTCACCACGTTGGCCAGGCTGGTCTTGAATTTCTGATCTCAAAGTGATTTGCCTGCCTCAACTTCCTGAAGTGCTGGGATTACAGGCACGAGTCACCATGCCTGGCCTTTAAATGGACTGCTTCTTAGCTGATGTAAGAATTATGAGTACACCAGACAAGTCTATCCCACCAACTAACACAGAGAAAAAACACGAGCAAGTAATCTGTATGAAATATTAGTTTTAATAAAACAGAACCAGTCCATGTATGGAGGCACGGGCATAAGGTTAACTTGCACTAAATGTAACTCGTACATTTTTTCTAAAATAATAGCTTGAGCATTGAGGACTTGGTGGCCTTAAGTACTAACCCGAAGCTGAGTTTCCTGGGAAGCTGACCCAATGGAGCGCTTGGAATTGAGGGGTGAAGTCTTCTTCCTGGGTCAGAGCTGATTCGGGGTCACTTGCTCTTGAGGTCCCTAAAGGCCGCATGCGCTGCATTTCGCCCAGCAGCTCCCATCACACCTCCTCCTGGAAGGGAATCTCCTATGAACCAAAGCTCCGCTCAGAAACCCGCCAGGGTGGGGGTGGGGGGGGGCGGGGCTTACTGAGATCCAGCAACAAAGCAGAGTGGGGCTGCTTAGAGGGGTGCGGGGGTGTGGGCACTGGAATCGCCTAGGACAGACATTCAATAGATCCTGGCTCCCTCCAGGCTTCCTGCACCAAAGGTCTGGGAAGGGGCCAGGTCCACAGCCCACAGCCTCAATGGCTGAGGGTGGACCTGCTGGATGGGCAGATGCTTAGTAAGCAAAGTTAAAATTTCAGAATAAGGGGCTGGGGGGAGGGGGGAGATGTGGAAGCACAGACTCTTTCCAGGGGGACCAAGTCCACACAGCTCAGAGAAGGTGTGCATAGCAAATGACAGCCTCAGCCAGCTCCTTAGGCTTGGAATGCGCACAAGAAAGAATTGTAAAGTTGAAGAAGTTAACTTTATCCATCCTTTCTGGTCTAAAATATGGATGGAGGCCTCTAATCCCAGCACTTTGGGAAGCTAAGCGGGGAGGATCACTTCAGCTCGGGAGTTCGAGACCAGCCTGGGCAACGTAACAAAACCCATCTTTACAAAAGAATAAAAAATTAGCCAGGCATGGTGGCACACACCTGTAGTCCCAGCTACGCCAGAGGCCGAGGCAGGAGGATCACTTGAGCCCAGGAGGTTGAGGCTGCAGTGAGCTGTGATCATACCACTGCACTCCAGCCTGGGCAATAGAGTGAAACCCCGTCTAAATATATATATGGATGGGGAATTTAGGGACATGGGTCTCTCACAAGCCCGCATTGGAATGTGGTGAGATGCCTCCACCAGGACGCATCCCCAGGCCTCCTGAAGGGGAGGTGTGAGCTCAACTGTGGGCTGTGGTCAGCCTGGTGGAGGCAGCGGCTGGGTGCTCACCTGTGCATGGAGAATTCTGAACACAAGACAGCTTCTTATGGTGGGAGTTCCCTGCTCCCCTCCCTCTCTGCCGCCTTCATTGTTTATCTTCTTCCTCCTTCTCCAAGTCTCTGGCCTCCAGTGAGCCCTCCCAGTCCCCACAGGGTAGTGGGACTCCAGGTCACTCACCAGGATGAGCCCCACTTCCACAGAGATACAGGCCCTGGAGAGGGCAGCGGTAGCCAGAATGCAGGGGCACAGGGCGGGCAAAGTAGAGCTGGTCCAGGGACATGGCACAGTGGAATATGTTCTGCAGAGGCAGGGCCACAGTCATTAGCACGGGAGCGTTACAGCCTTTCCTGTCCTGGCAGGGTTTCTTCCCCTCCCCTGTTCTCCAGCAAAAGTTCTTCTCCTTCTGGGATATTTTCTTGGGTTCTTAAAATGCAGAAAGGGAAGGAGATGAGATGGAACAGGCACACACCCTGGGGCTGGGAGCGAAGTTTTCCAGAGGCCTTTTGAGGAAGAAAGCAGGGTGGGGAACAGGAACTGAACAGGAAAGAAAAGAGGGTTTTGCTATCTACTCTGCATCCCTCTCGCTCTGCTGGAAAAACAGAATCGTCCGACTTATTGTGGCTGCTGGCATGTGTCTCTGCGAGAACTTCCTTCTGTGGCCAAGGCATCCACCTGAGCCCGGACCCCGGCGTCCAGGTTCCAGCAGGATCACTGTGAATGGCAGACAAGGGGCAACGGAGCCGAGCACGGTTCTGTCCCCCTGGCTTGGGTGAGACCAGCCCCAGGCTGAGAAGGGAGGCAGCATGGGACAAGCGAAGGTCAGACTCAGGGGGCAGGTCTGGACAAGAAGCCCGACGTCTGCTGGGCGTCACCACAGGAGTGTCCCCCCACTGCCCTCCTCACATTGCCCCAAACTGAGGTCATCCTCTTCCCTCAAGTCTGCTCCTCCCCATCCTCCTGCGTCAGTGAATGACACCACCTTCCTCCCGCTGGCCTCTGCACCTACCCTTCACATCACCTCCACCCTGACCCCCATGTGCACACTGTCACCAAGGCTTCTCAAGTCTGCCCGCCCCATGCCTGCTCTACCCAGCCATTCCCTTCCTTCCTGCTGCCTGGCCTTCTTTCCTCTACCCGGACCAGTGCTGCTCAGTGAGCATGTAATGGGAGCTAATATGCAGTTTTTGATTTATTAGTAACTACATTTAAAAAGTAAAAGCAGAGTCTGTTGTGGCGCATGTCTGTAATCCCAGCACTTTGGGAGGCCAAGGTGGGAGGATCACTTGAGCCCCAGAGTTTGAGACCAGCCTAGGCAACACAGGGAGACTCCATCTCTACAATTTAAAAAAATTAGCCTGGTATGGTGGTGCATGCCTGTGGTCCTATCTACTCAGGAGGCTGAGGTGGGAGGATGGATGGCTTGAGCCCCAGAGGTCGAGGCTGCAGTGAGCTGTGATTGCACTACTGTACTCCAGCCTGGGTGATAGAACAAGACCCTATCTCTAGAAGGAAGAAAGGGAGGAAGAGAGGGAGGGAGGGAAGGAGGGAAGGAGGGAAGGAGGAAGGGAAGGAGGGAGGGAGGAAGTAAAGAAGGGAGGAAGGAAGGAAGGAAGGAAGGAAGGAAGGGAGGAAGGAAGGACAAGTTGATGAATTTAATGTCAATAACATATTTTATTTAGCTATATATATCTATATATATTTATTAGCTATATACATATAATATACCCAAAATATTATAATTTCAACATGTAATCAATATATAAATTATTGATGAGATATTTTATATTTTTTTCTATACTGTGTGCATTCTACACTTGCAGCACATCTCACTTTGGCCTCAGATTTTTCTTTTGCTTTTTTTTTTTAATTTTCTTTTTAGAGATAGGGTCTCATTCTGTTACCCAGGCTGAAGTGTAATGGCACATCACAGCTCACTGTAGTCTCGAACTCCCAGGCTCAAGCGATCCTCCTGCTTCAGCTTCCTGGGTAGCTGTGACCACAGGTACACACCACCACCCCTGGCGATGTTTTTGGTTTTTTGTTTTTGTAGAGATGGGGTCTCACTATGTTCCCTAGGCTGGTCTCTGGCCTTGCAAGTGCTCAGTAGCTGCAATGAGGCGATTGAGCCTGGCCTCCTAACTGGTCTCCCTGTCTCCAATCTCTAGTTTTTGATAAACTGAAGTCTGAGGATGTGCTGCTGCCTTGAGAAGGGGGTGCTCTCTCTGAAGAAAGTCAGATGGCAGAGCCAGCATGGTTGTCAAGGCAGAGGGCCACAATCCTGGTGACCTTCTCAGTGGGGGCTGTCCTGACTGTGTTTCTGAGTCCCTACTAGGGATCCCCCATTCCCTCAATTTGACCACTTCTCTGCCCTCTCTCAGCCAGGGTCCCTGCCCCTGTGCTCCCTTCCTGATGAAAGCTGAGTATGGAGGGACAAGATAAAGCAGAGAGGTTACAGCCAGGAAGTGAGGGTGCAGAGGGAATGCTATGGTGAGAGACCCCCTAGGCTTATACGCACCCCTCCAGGAAGCCCGAAGATTCTCTCCAAATCTGGTGGTGTGAGGATGTCTCTGCCAACCACAGAGTCTTTGAAGCCAGGGGCATAGACCTCGATGCAATCAAACACTGGGGTGCCAAAAACAGAGAAATGAGATGGTGTTAGGAAGAAGAGGAGACGCTAAGGGGATACAACTTGGCAAATTTACTAACAGTCATTAAATTACACACAGACATGGGTTTATTTTATCATATGCAAATTATACCTCAATAGGTGAAAAACAAAAATCAGCCCACAAGCAAATGAATAATTCATCCCAAAGATGCATGGGCAGGCCGGTCCAGTCCCCAATTTTCCCCACTTCCCTACCCCAACCCTAAACACAAAGCTGCTTGTCTCCTCTTGCATATGCAGCTTTTTTCACCTCATCACTTTCCTCAAGCTTGCTCGCTCTCTCTCTCTCTCTCTCTCTCTCTCTCTCCCCCTCTCTCTCTCTCTTTCAGACGGAGTCTCACTCTGTCACCTAGGCTGGAGTGCAGTGGTGCGATCTCGGCTCGCTGCAACCTCCGCCTCCAGGTTCAAATAATTCTCCTGCCTCAGCCTCCGGGGCAGCTGAGATTACAGGCATGTGCCACCACCCCCGGCTAGTTTTTTTGTGTTTTTCGTAGTGACGGAGTTTTACCATGTTGGTCAGGCCTGTCTTGAACTCTTGACCTCAGGTGATCCACCTGCCTCGGCCTCCTGAAGTGCTGGAATTATAGGCATGAGCCCCCATGCCCGGCCTGCTCAAGCTGTTTCTCTTGCTTGGAATGCCCTTTGCTGCCTGGCCAGCTCCTAGTCATCCTTGGAAACCCAGCTTGACCGTCCCTTCCTTTGAAAGCCTTCCTTGTCCCTCTGGCTCATGCTTCTCCTTTGGTTCATGCAGTCAGCTGTGCTGTAATGACAGATTTCTTAATTTGTCTCCTCCATCCCTTGCTAGGCTGCGAGCAACTGGAGGGCAGGAACTGTGTTTTCTTGGCTTTCTTAGCCCAGTTCCTGACTCCAGCAGTCATTCACTATGCTGACTTGAGGTTCCCTCGACTATTTCCTCCCTTTGGGACGTCATCTGCAGCTGTCAATCCTGAATGGGGCAGGGAGGAGGAGCAGGCCCAGTCAGGTCGCAAGCCCGGCTGTGGCTCTGGAGGCAGAACATGCAGCTCTCTTTACCTCTGTCTGCGTAAGCGTCTCTCTCCTGCTCGTCCCAGGCCTTGCCTCCAGCCAGTGTGTAGGGCGTGTACTGAGTGAAGAGAGAGACTACGTGGCAGCCGGAGGGAGCCAGGGTGGGGTCCAGTGCAGAAGGGATGCAGAGCTCAATCATAGGCCTGTGCAGGCAGGGAGGAGAGACGGCAGGTCTAAGAGCAGCAGTGTGGTGCGAAGGGCCTCTGAGATGACTTGGGACACAGTGGAGACCCTGAGATGACACCAATCCTGGGCGACTGTCGCTGTACAGCCACAGTGGTTGTCCACAGTACAGGTCCACAGTGGCCTCCAGTGTGATCCAGAGCACCCGTGAGGAGCTAGCCTGGCCCAGACCCCCGAATGCATGGCCTGTCCTTGCCTGCCTTCATCACACGCTGTGCTCTAACCACAGCTCCCAAACGCAAATGTCTCCAAGGTCCACACAGACAGTGGGAGTGTGGAAAGAGGCCAGGCCTAAGACAGCAGGCGCCCAGGCAGCCAGATTTCAGCCAGGCTTTAGCGGCCTGACTGCCTTTTCCAGAGCAGACCAATGGAAGACAGAGTTGCTAGGGCTGCCCCGAGCCCCAGCAGAGCTGTGAACTGCTTCCCACCCCACCACCTTTGCCTGCCACACCTTTTCTACCTGGAGCACATTCTCCCTCTGATCTCCAAATATGAGTCTCCTTCAAGGCCACGGGAAACGCCCCTTCTCCCTGCGTCCCTCAGCCGCAATGGTTTTGCTGAACTTGGATGTCCACCAGGGATCTCAAACGTCCCCCGTTCAAACCCCAATGCCTGATTAGCCTCTAAAACCTGCTCCACCCCCGCCGCCTCTTCCTCTCTTCGGTAAATGGAGGCATCTTTTCACAGTCGCTCCTTTTTATTACCCACATCCCACTCCCTGTCCAACAGCAAGTCCTGTTAGCTTCACCTTCAAAATATACCCAGTCTTCCGTCCTTTCTCATCACTTCCACTGCCCCACCCTTGTCCAAGCCACTGTCCACTCTAACTTGGATTCTGCAACAGTAACCCATTGCAACAGATGCCTTAACGTTTTCTCCACACCGTGTCCAGGTTGGTCTTTCTAAAGTATAAGGCAGGCTCTGCACAAACTTTCCTGGAGTAAGAGCCAGGGCAGTTGACAAGACCCAGCACGATCTGACACCCTTCACTCCCAGGTGCTCTCTCTCCAGCCACTCTGGCCTCGTCCCTGTGCCTCCTACACAGCAGCACGCTCCTGCCCCAGGGCCTTTGCACCTGACCTTCCCTCTGTCTGGACGTTCTTTCCCAGGTACCCACAAGATCTGTAGCCTCACTTCCTTCCGGTCTCTGCTCAAGTGCCGCGTTATCAGAGAAGCCTTTCCTCCCCTTCCCTGCCTATTTTTCTCCGCAGTGCTCATCATCAGTGCTTACTTGTTGATTGTCTTCCTCTCATGGATAGAAAGTCAGCGACCTGAGACCTTGTTGGCTTTGCTTGCTGATCTGTGCCCAGTCACTGAACCAAGCCTGGCACAGAGTAGAGACCCCAGAATATTTATAAATGGATGAATGAACTTTGCCCTATACCCTTCTCTCCAGGCGCACATCTTCTTTACCACATGCTGTAAATATTTGTGTACCTGTCTTATCATAAGCTTCGTGTCGGTTTCATGCCCCTGCCCCGCTAGTTCTCCCAGCCTGTACCTAGTACAGAGCCCGGCACTGAGTAGCTTTTCAACAGTGTGTGCTGGACAGTGGACAGGAAGGAAAGGCTCTTGCTCCTATAGTGCCCCTGCCTTTTCTGGAAGGATGGAAATACAGCTGCAGTGGGAGGTGGGAAATGCTTTTAGAAGTTTTGCAAGAAGGCAGCTTATCAGAAAAAGAAAGGCTACGGAGCAGGGGACTCAGTGAGTGCGTGCCCCCTGACAGGCTCTGAATGAGAGAACCTCCTTCGCTTTCCCAGAACACATTTTCTCTTCTTCCCCAGCCCCAGCACTTTCCTGGGCAGCGCTCTGCCCCCTGCCCCTTCCGCTAACCTGAGCTGCTCTTCACCCTTACCTGCCCTGGTCCTCAGATTTTTCACCTGGGATGCACTTCCTGTCCTTAGAAGTTAAGTATGGATTTTGGCAGATCCTAAGTCACTGTGAAGGTTGAACGCCAGGCCTGATCCCTGCTGTGTGTGACATGGACAGCCCCGCCTCCCAGGCCCATGTGGAAGAACATCAGGGGATGTTCTGTCCAGGACCCCTACCTGTGGGAAGGCAGGCCATCCATGGCGTCTTCAAAGGCCTGATGAAGGAGGAGGGTGTCTTCACAGTTCAGGTGGATGGAGCACTGGTGATGGGGCAGTGGGTGGCCCCTGGGAGCATTGGGGGCCGCCAGGAAGCTGGGCAGCCTGTCTACAGCCACTGAGGGACCAAAGAGGAGGGTCAGGTCTTAGTCCCCAAGGTCCTCCCTCTACAGCCAGCACCCTGCTACCCTGAGTGGCAGACGGGAGTAGGAAAGTATTAGCAAGTGTTTCACCTTCTGACCAGGCTGCAGGGGGACACAGGCTGGAGGTCAGGGAATGGAGGTGATGACAGAGTTCAGCTGCCCCCCGCCTGGAGGTTTCTCACTCGGATGGGTCAAAGGAGACAGTGCTGCAATGTGGTGTGCCTCTTACCATTGATCTTGGTGACAGGCGACCGGGTGTCCAGCTGAGAGATTTTCTCCAGGAACTCCTCAGGAAGCCACTCCTGGAAGGAGAAGCCTCCATGAAAGCCCCCAGACGTCCAAGGCCCCAAGGAAGCTGCCTTCTTTCTTTGCTCAGGAAGAGCCCTCAGTCGCTCCCTCTGGAAATCCTCTTCATCCTTCAAAGCTCAGCCAAAACCACCTCCTCTGTGAAGCCTTCCTAGATCCCCTCCCACTCAGCTCTAACCACTTCCTCCTCTGTGCTTGGCCAGCAGTTCTGACTGTGAAATAGTCCACACCTCTCCCTGCTTGCAAAGGGGACAGTGGTTTGCAGGTCTCTTTTCACTACTGGTGTGTAAGCTCTTGGAAGCCTCGATGATCTCAGAATTGCCTTAACAAGTTTCTTTTTACGGATGTTTGTTGAATTTTATTAATGGAATCACTCAGAAAAAGTAGTGCTTTGCCCCTAAGAATTGCCCCCAAGAATGGTTGGGAGCTTCGTGCACATATACATGTTATCGTATCTTTTGGGCACAGGGAAAGTCAATTGCAAAAACTGCCCCCCAAAGCTCACCCCTCCCTGTTTGCACACCCGTTTCTGTGTAATCTTGCAGTGCCCTCACACTCTGACTCTGGGCTTGGCCATGAGACTTGCTTTGGCCGATGCTAGCAAACAGGATGCAAAGAGATCAAACCACATGATGCTTGCATACATGCTTGAGCTTGCCTGCTTTTGCCCCTTGCCAGACCCTGAGAACATGCCTGGACTACTGTGCTGGGGGAGGACAGACACACGGGGCAGAGCTGAGTTCCCCTGGTCATCCCAGCAGAAACAGTCCTGGACCAGCCACCACCGGCTAGCTCCCAGGAACATGAAGGAGTCCCGCCAAGATCAGCAGAGCCGGCAAGCTGACCTGCAGCTGACTGCAGATGCATGAGCCAGCCGTGAGCAGTTGAAATCCACCAAGATCAACTGAAGTCTCCAGTTCTGGGTGCCAGTATTTCTTGTGTGCCCAGAAGTTTTGTGGCTCTTTTTAAAAATTAATTAATAATCATGGATAATACAACAGATAGTTGACACATACAATGGAATTAGAGCTGGTGAAAGAGGAGAAATCAGGAAAGTAGGAAAGTTGTGGAAATAACTCTAGATGGAAAGTCAGACCTGGGTTCTAGCTCTGGCTCTGCCACTGGCCAGAATCTTGGTCACTTCACCTCTCTGGCCCCTTCTCCTCACCTGTGAGGCTCCTTCCCTGTTTGCTACCTGCCCTTACCTGCCTGTTTCCCAAATGCAGAGACTTGGCTTTTGCATCTCACACCCTGATGCAATCCTGGCTCCCTCAATCCCCACGGATTCCAACCCCTGTTTTGGCAGACATCTAAGCTCCACCCTCCTGCCCACAGCCTCACCTGTGGCGTCAGCTTCAGGAAGGTGATCTGCGGTGATGTGTTGGACAGCACCACCTTGCTTCTCACTTCTGTGCCATCTTCCAGCACAACTCCTTGAACACAGCCTTCACTGTTCACCTGCACCTTCGCCACTGTCTAGCGCCCACCAGAAACCCCCAGGAAGGGAAACCCAGGTTAGATCTTGTGGGATTCCCATGGTCTGTGATGGTCCTAGGCATTCACAACTTCTTCATCCCAAACCCACCCCATCAAGTTCTGCAGCTTCTCCATGAAACACTCAGCCTCGGTTCAGTGACCAGGGAATTCAAAGGGGGTGGTTAGCCACTAACAGGTTGCGTGACCTTAGTCTCTTAATCCTGCAACCCACCCCCTCACAACCTCTCTGTTCATTGGTAAAACAAGGGACCTTCCAAATCTGAGACTTGGTTCTGTCCTGGGATCCTTGTCAATAATTGGGGTGGGGTACAGGGGCCATTCACCTTTTCAGTGAAGATGCTTGCTCCATGGGTGGTGGCTGAGCTTGCGATGGCATCAGAGAGGGCACCCATGCCCCCCTGGACATAGCCCCAGGCCCCCTGCATCCCCTCCAGGCCCCCCATCACATGATGCAGCAGCACATACCTGAGGACAGACCATCTGACTCAGATCCTGGAGGTGGGATCTCATCTGCCCAGAGTTGTCTGTGCAACTATTCCTTTCCATCTTGATCTTCAGCCCCTCCCTGCCACCATCCAGCCCTTTCCCAGTCGCCTTTAATGAGCCAAGTTCTTGTAAGAGCCCTTTGCCTTCTCTACACTGACTCCCCAGCAAGTGTGTCTATGTGCATAGCTTTATTACCAAAAAGAAGGCATATGCCCAAACCTGCAGCTCCAGCACTCTCCTGAACTCCAGCTCCTATGTCTAACTACCCACAGATATCTCCATTTGGACGCTTTCTTGGTAGGCATCTTAAACCCACCACCTTTTCCCCATTCTCCAGCTGCTTCCCCTTCAATCTTTCCCATTCCAGTGAATGACACCTTTCCATAGAAGGTTCTGTTTCCAACAGAAACCAGGTGTCAGCCTTGACCGCTACCATCCTTCCCCATCTACGTCCACACAGCAACGCCAACTCAGCCTCCAAAGGGCTTCAAGGCCACCCCACCTCTCAGCCTCTCTTCCTTTTCTTATGCTGCTGCAGTAGTGCCCCTCATTGGACCCCCTCTCCCACACTTTCTCCCCTGCAGGTCTTTGTCCACATATATCCTGGAGCCTTATCTTAAAGCCCAGCTGTACTCCTGCCACTCACTTATCACCATTCCAAACCTCCCTGGCTTGGCGCTGCTCTTAGGGAATGGCCAGTCTCCTAGCAGGCGCTCCAGCCTCACCCCTCATCCTGTCCCTCTCTGTACCCCATCCTCCTAACTAACAGAACCTCTAGATTCCTGGGTGGATCATACATTCTCTAACCCCAGCATTTCCCCTGCTGTTCTGTCAGCCTGAAGCCCCTTCCTCCCTCATCGTGTGTTTCGCTAACTCCTCTTTGTCCTTTGGGTCTCAGATCAAACACCTCTTCCATGTGGAGGCTTCTCTGACCCTAGGCCAGGCTGTGTCCCGGCTGCTCCTCCTAGCATCACACTCACACCACTTCATCATCATCACTCGCTCTGTGTCTCTCACCCATCAGGACGTCTGCTCCACTCACTACCGTATCCCCAGCACCTAGCGAGCGCTCATCCCTATTTGTTGGAAGAATTAATGAAGGAACAAATTACTTAAAGGCATATTTCACAAACTGAGCACTGGCTAAGCCTCCCAGAGATCCCAAGAGAAAAGGGCAGAGGCCCCAGCTGGAAGATCCAGATTGGCTGGTAGATCACAGCTTGGCCAACGTGTAGCAACTGCTGCCAAGCCCCCGTCTCTATGGTCCTGGGGGAATTTGGGGCCGGCTTAATATGTGTTGAAAAACCACTTCCGAGGGTGTGCTCATCCCTTGAGAGAAAAGCCACGTCGACAGCTTCTAGCTTCTAGCTGTATCTTCTGGTGCACTGGAAACGGCCCAACCCTTGGCGGCATTCTCCATCCCAACACACACACACACACACACACACATACACACACACACCCCTCCATTCCTGCTTCTGTGGGGGCTCATTAAGTCAGACCACACTGCAGGCTTCGCTGTGTCTGACTGCCACCTCTCGGACTGGGCTGTCAGCGCACACCCGCACTCAGCAAGGCAGCTCACTGCCCATCCTGAGGTGCCTGTGTGAGTGTCCCGGAGCCCAGGGAAAGGACCGGCGGCAGGCAAGGGAGAATGGGTGTTTGCGGGAGTGGAGAGGTGGAAGGGGGAAGGGAAGAGGAGAGAAAAGAAGATATTGTTGAGATACCAAGTGGGAGGTGGGAGAGAGGCTTTTCTTAGTGAAGCAGTAGGGCACGGTCACTAAGAAGGAAGATTTTGGGGAGTCAGACATCTCGAGCTGAAAATCAGCCTGGCCACTTGAGTGGCTTTGGGCAAGACACTCCCTCCTCTGAACCGCAGTTCTCAGACATTGCTCTGAGGGTTAAATGGATCGTGTGTGATGTGCCTGGCTCGGTTCCTGGCTCACTGGGTGAACTCTGTTAAGTGGCAGCTGTTGCTGCGGCCACTGCCACTGTTGTCCTCACTCCTGTTGGGGAACATGCCCCATTCCTGTGTCCCGCCTCACCCCCCTCGCTCACCCACTCCCCGGAGTGCGGGGACTTGTCATGGCTCCAATCACAGCATCTGTGGCCAGAGTGGCTTTTAGAGGCTCAGACTCAAACCACTGATCCAGCACCTGGACAGCACAACAGCAGAGAGAAGGGCTTAGGGGCCTCGACGGGAGGAGGGTCCCCTTGCTCCCTGGTTGGGCCTGACGCTGGGGAACCGCTCACCTTGGTAATGGGAGCTGTGAGGACCTCATAATATTGGGGAAGCTGGGCTCCCAGGATGCGGCCTATAACAGAAGATCCACAAAACAGAAGTTGAAACAGGTGACAGGGAAACCCTCCGACCTGGCCTGTGGGATAAAAGATTGGAGGAGGCCGAGACTTCCTGCGGGGAGATGGTATAGCACAGCCAATGCAGAGACAGACCCAGCCTGAGTCCCGGCCACACCTCTCACTAGCAGCGCCTGGGACACATTTTTAACATCTCTGAACCTGATTCTTTACCTGTAACACGGGAATCCTATTTTACACCCCAAGGGCTACAGTGAGCATTAAATGAGCTAGGTAAAGCATTTGCAAGTTCATAGGCATTTAATATGTTTAACCAGTTAGCATTATGTTTTGAAAATTTTAAACTTCTACCTTATTCCCTTATTTTGAACTCCGGAAGGCCCATATCCTGGGAGGTAGCTGGCCTGGCTGATCCATTCCTACAACCCTGATTCAGACCATTTCAGAGTAACTAGGCTTTAAGACCTTCAGGATAGAAATCACGGTCTCTAGACTTATAGCACCCAGGCCTACCTTAGTGTCTGGCACGTAGTAGTTGCTCAATAAATGTTTTTTGCCTATTTTTCACACAAAGCTCCCTGGACTGGTTATCTGAGAGGCAGTGTCTACTTTTTGCATTTGTAATAGATTCCACTGGCTCCACACTCTTTGCAATGTATAAGTCTGCAGTGCCTCCCAACCCACCACAGCTTGGTTAACCTGCCCGGCTCCTTGGCTCTGGGCTCATCCATGTGACTTGGCCAGCCAGTGGAATGTTTGCAGATGTGACACAAAGCCAGACCTGAAACAGGCCTGTACATTGGGGCATGCCCTTTGTGCTTGTGCCACTGATGTGAAAAGTCCACGCCCAGATCAGCATGTGCTTCTACAAGGAGGACGGGAGGTACCTGCAGCAGAGCTGCCTCCACTGAGCTGCTGCAGACACAAACACATGCCTGAGACCAGACCAGATCAGCTGAGCCACGAAGACATATGGGAAACAAGCGATTTGTTTGTTTGTTTGTTTTTTCTAGGATATAGAGGCTAAACTGGTCTGTATATCCTCAAGGAGGGTAGAAAATAATAGCACACTTGATGTGCCTTCCCTTCTCATACTCATGACAGACATTACTAACTGATCACAGAACTTCTCCTTGCTGAGCCCAAATCTAGCATTCTTCCTGTATGGGAGCAGCACTTCAAATCTCTTGGCCCCTATATCTTATTCTAGCTACGGCCATGATGCCGAACTCCTTGCAGGCTTTGATCAGCTTCACAAAGGCACCTCCACAGCATCTCACTTCAGTCCTGAAAAGTAAGCCTCTGTACTTCTTCCCTAGGGCGCTCATGGGAACCTACTTGGCACCCACAGATGCACAGCCCAGAAGTGTGGGAGTCAATGCCCTGTGAGGCAACCCTTGACCAATGGGAGCTAGCTAGAACCCAAGGAATAAATATTTCCCTTTCCATCTCCCGAGAAGGTTCCTCAAATGCATTTCATAAGGTTTCCCAGAGGGCCCACACAGGTCCAGCATCTTGTCACCCACAGTGTGGCTAGTGTGATCACACACTCTGGTATTGACTCTTTCTCTGTCCACTCTCACCCCCACTTTCTCCTATTTTTGTGCCTTGGGGTCACCCTTCCAATGAACTACCCATGCACAAGCCTTGGTCTCAAGCTCTATTTTAAAGCGCATCAGCCTAAGATGCTCTCAACAAAGTGCTCCAGGCTGCCCGTAATTGATCGCAGCATGTTAACTGATCCCAGGTGGCAGGTTGCCATGGAGGTTCAGGCTTGTGTCTAGGCATTGAGACAATGCGCTCACCTCCTTGAAGGTCACTCATCATGCCCCGGTGCCCGCACTTGGACTTACCTGCCTTCAGCAGGGGCTTGAGGGTGGACAGCGACTTGATCCTTTGCAGCAGAGAGCCATGCTGGAAGGCCGCCATGTCCACGGGGGCCGCATCCAGCAGAGGGTCAATGGCTAATGCCAAGCGATGCATGAACTCCTCGTATCTGGGAAAGACCTGGAACAGAGCTCTGCATCAAGGCCCCACCATCCATATCCCTCCCCTCCATGCTGTCCCCATATGGCCTGTCACCCCCACAGCTTGATGGTTCCTCAGGCCTCATTCCCCGCTGTGGCTCGGCTTGGCTCTGTTGAGCTCCCCCAGTTCCAGGTCTCTGGGTTAACATCAACACCAAGAAGAGTACATGGGGTGGAGGTGGGGGTGCTCAGGAGACCCTGGGCGATAGGAGAGCCACCAGCAGTGGCAACAGGGACAAGGAGCTAATGCTGGCCAACACAAAGTGTCACCCACAGAAAACTGGCAAGAATCTTAGGGTGTGGTCTCTGCGATAAACCATGAAACCACTTAGAAGTTTCTTCCTTCTGTCATTTCTTCTTTTTTTTTTCCAAGATGGAGTCTTGCTGTGTCACCCAGGCTGGAGTGCAGTGGTGCGATCTCGGCTCACTGCAACCGCTGCCTCCCAGGTTCAAGCGATTCTCCTGCCTCAGCCTCCTGAGTAGCTGGGATTATAGGCATGTGCCACCATGCCCAGCTAATTTTTGTAGTTTTAGTAGAGACGGAGTCTCACCATGTTGGCCAGGCTGGTCACGAACTTCTGACCTCAAGTGATCCACCTGCCTCGGCCTCCCAAAGTGCTGGGATTATAGGCGTGAGCCGCTGCGCCTAGCCTGTCCTTCTGTCCTCTCACATATTACTGGTAGAAGTTAGACCTTTGCCTGTATTCTTTTCCAGTCTGTAGGTCTCCCACGCCGTCTCATCACCCGCAGTCACAGAAGACTGCCTCTTCTCACCCCACAAGCTCCCACGTCAGAATCCACTTTCGAAAGCCTGGTTTCTGACACTCACCTTCGCTTCCCTGGTGGGCACAGGAGCAGTGATAGAAGCCTGTACTACTGGAGGCCCTACCTGATTCCTCTTAGCCCTGGACTTTGCATTTTGGTCTATCTCTACCCGTGGATAGACCCATGACATTTTAATAAGTGTTACATGAAGAAAAGTTCCATGTTAAAATACATTTGAGAAGTCTTGGTAAAAACGAAGTTAAACAGTTTTCTCTAAGCAGGACTTTAATATGACAGCATGGAAAGACAAAACTAGGAATCAAGCTCCTTACTTTCCATGATGGGAAATGGGCCCTTGCCTCTGGCGTGTGTGGTCGCTAGAGTGTAGGGCCACAGCTAGTGTCCTGCAGGCCCGGGAACCTGGCCTTGTGCCAAATCCCCTCAAGTGCATCTGAGATGGGCAGGATTTGGACAACAGGATGCAGGTGGTGGTCTCCAATGTGCCACACAAAAGAACCATCAAAGAAGCACTTTTAAAAAGCTAAGCTCCTCAGGCCGGGTGTGGTGGTTCATGCCTGTAATCCTAGCACTTTGGGAGGCGGAGGTGGGAGGATTGCTTGAGCTCAAGAGTTCCAGACCAGCCTGGGCAACATAGTGAGACTTTTGTCTCTACAAAAGAATTAAAAATAACTTAGCCGGGCATGGTGGTGAATGCCTGTAATCCCAGCTACTCAAGTGGCTGAGGCAGGAGGATTGCTTGAGCACGGGAGGCGGAGGTTGCAGTGAGCCAAGATCGCACCGCTGCACTCCAGCCTGGGTGACAGAGTGAGACCCTGTCTTAAAAACAAATGAAATAAAATAACAAAATAAAAGGCTAAGCTTCTCAGGTGATTCTGATCATCAGCCAGGTTTGAAAACTGCTGGTGGAAGAGACATGTAGGCTGTGCATCTGTGGTTCTCTAAGTTTTACCCAGTAATAGATTAACACAAGAAAAGCAGTGTACATGGGTTCTATTAACCTAGGTTCTTCTTATGAAAATGTCTCCACTGAGATATGATTTAATGCTACACCTCAGCTTGTGTCCACGCTTGGTACAAAACGGCCATTCAAATAATCTTCCTAAGTCCACAGAACCAACTGTGGCAGGGCCCTTACGGAACTCAGTGGCTCATCTAGACAAGGCCACCCAGCAGGTTCCTAGAATGCAGTTCCAAGGGAAAAAAAGTGCATTCTCCATCCAACATGTGCACATCCCGTCACCAGAGCTGCACACCATCATGGACACTTTGTTGCTTTGGGCAGTCAGGAGGGAGCCTTGGGATGCCACATTGAATGAATATTTAGAACTCTCTTGTCCTAAGTTCCTGATTCAGTTGATTTTATCCTTAATTTTCTCTGATCGTCCCTCATCCTCCTTTCTGGCTTTCATGTGCTTTAATGTGGACAAACACCCGGAACTCTGTCTGAAAGCTGGAGGGGCATGAAGCACTTCCTGGTGTAGGAACATGCCGGTGCATTTCCTCTTGAACTCAGCATGCACAGCCCCTCTGACAGTGGCCCCATATTGAATACACGCAGGTGTGCGTGTCTTCCAGTCCACTAGTCTTAATCAGCATCCTCCACCCACTTCTCTTCGCAGTGCCTGAGATCAAGAGCTGCCACCAACTGGAGCCCTCCTAGGAATGTGGGGTGGCCTGGCCCAGTGCCCATGACCTTTGGACAATTGTTCTAGGACAATCCAACCAGGCCCACCTTTAGGCTGCTGAGGGAGTAGGAGATCAGTCACTGGTCGCCTTCCCTACCTGGGCATCCTTCCGGGAGAACTGGGCAATCTGCTTCTGGTTTTCTGCCATGTCTGTGCCCAGCAGAAGGGACCTGGGCACCTTGCTGCCCGCACCGTCTTCCAGCATGGGGGTGAAGGAGTAGGGGTTTCGAAGATGAAGCCTCAGCCCATGTTTCTGCAGAACACAAACAGCACGGCAACAAATTAATGGCTCTGTGGTCTCTGTCCGTCATCCTTTTCTCCAATTGTGTTTGTGTGACCATATAGGTACCTGTGTATAGATTCCCAAGTGTATGGTCCTGGTGTCTGTTTTTTAAATATAGTTTAAAGAAAGCCCTCTTGCCCAAGTACCCTATGGTAGACAATACTGTATCATAGCACAGTACACTATACCATTCTATACCATACCATACATACCATACCATGCCATACAGCACCACGCCATGCCACATCATACCATACCACACTACATCACATCACACCATACACACCATGCCATACCACACCCTACCACACCATACGATACTATACCATGTCATATCACACCACACTACGCCATGCCACATCATACCACACCACACCGTGGCACACTCATTCCATGCCAGGGACTGTACTAGGGTTTACAATGGTTACCTCACAACAACTTTGTAAGTACAGTCTTGCATCACTTAACGATGGGGATATGTTCTGAGAAATGCATTGTTAGGCAATTTTGTTGTAGTTTGAGCATCACAGAGTGTACCTACACAAACCTAGATCTGATAGCCTACCACACATAGGCTGTGTGGTGTAGCCTATTGCTGCAAACCTGCATAGAATGTTACTACACTGAATCCCGGAGACAACTGTAATACAATGGTATTTGGGTATCTAAACATACCTAGGCTGGGAGCAGTGGCTCATGCCTGTAATCTCAGCATTTTGGGAGTCCAAGGTGCACAGATCAGCTGAGGTCAGGAGTTCGAGACCAGCCTGGCCAATATGGTGAAACCCCATCTCTATTTAGAATACAAAAATTAGCCGGGCATGGTGGCACACACCTGTAGTCCCAACTACTCGGAAGGCTGAGGCAGGAGAATCGCTCGAACCTGGAAGGCGGAGGTTGCAGTGAGGTGAGACTTCACCACTGCACTCCAGCCTGGGTGACAAAGCGAGATTCTGTCTCAAAAAACAAAAACAAAAACAACAACAAAAAACCCAAACATAGAAAAGGTACATTAAGAATATGGCATAAAAGGTAAGAAAAATGATACGTATAGAGCCCTCATGATGAATGGAGCCTGCGGGATCGGAAGTTGCTCTGGGTGAGTGGTGAGTGACTGAAGGCCCAGCACATTGCTGTGCACTACTGCACGCTTTATAAATACAGTACACTTAGGCTACACTACATTGATTAAAACATTTTCTTCAGCAAGTTAGCTTACTGCAACTTTTAAACTTTATAAACGTTTTAATTTTTAAAACCTTTTTGATTCTTTGAAAAAGACACTTGGCTACAAACACAAACATTGTATAGCTATATAAGCTATTTTCTTTATATCCTCATTCTGTAAGCTTTTTTCTGTTTTTAAAATTTTTATTTTATTTTATTTTTTACTTTTTAAATTGTTTTGCTAAAAAGTGAAACACAAACACACACATCAGCCTAGGGCTACACGGGGTCAAGATCATCAATGTCACTGCCTTCCACCTCCACATCCTGCCCCACTGCAGGGTCTTCAGGGACAGTAACACGTGGCACTGTTATCTCTAGAGAGCAATGCCTTCTCCTGGATCCCTCCTGACAGACCTGCCTGAGGCTGTTTGACAGTGAATTTTTTAAATAAGGAAAAGGAATACATTCTAAAATGGTAATAAAAAGTATAGTATAATAAATACATTAACCAGTGACAAAGTCATTTACTATCAAGTATTGTGTACTGTATATAATTATATGTACTAGACTTTTTGACAACTGGCCGCACAGTAGGCTTATCGCCACAAACACATGAATAATATGCTGCACTGCAACTATGACATCGCTAGGGGACAGGAATTTTTTTCAGCTCCATTGTAAGCTTATGGGACCACCATTGTATATAGTCTATCGTTGACCAACATGTTGTCACATGGCACGTGGCTGTCTTACTATCCTCATTGTACAAAAGCAACACGAGAGGCTCATAGGAGTTACATAATTTGTCCCAGGTCACTTTAGGAGGTAGGTCTGGGTTTCAAAACCACAGCTGTGTAACTGCAAAGCCCCAGCTCTCAGCACCAGTCTGTAACTGCCCCACTTCAGAAATAAATAATTAAATTTAGAAAGACACAATCAAGCAATGGTTATGTGAAAATCTATACTTACAAGGTAGATAAATTATTCACATCAGAACATTTTATTTACTTTGCAGACTCATTTACTCCAGGGTCACTTTAAGTGGAAGTCCCCTTGATGCATTTAAAATATGATTTGATTTACAAATATTTGATTAGCACACAGAACTTTCCAAGAGCACATCTACTTCCTCAAAGGAGGCACAGATAAAGCAAAAGGGGCCTGTGCTGCCTCCAGTTTCTGCTGTCCAGAGGCTTCCTTCTCCAGATCCGTGGCCTGCTCCCTCAACGACTCCAGGTCTTGGCTGGAATGCCACCTTATCAGCCAGGCCTCTCTTGCACTCCCTGCGCCCTCGCCCTGCAATATTTTTCCCCAAAGTACTTGTCACCACATGGCTAATCACATATTTAGTGTTTTCATTGTCTCCCCAAGTAGAATGTGAGCCCTGTGAAGTCAGGGGCATTGTCTATTTTGTTCACTGCTGTATCCCCCGCATGCAGACACAGTGCAGTTAATAAGCATTCCGTCGACTCTGAATAAATGAATGCTACGTTGCAGACAAGGTACGGCCGCAGAGGAGGGAAATGAGATCTGAGAGTAGAGGTTTTAGGAAAGCACGAGGAAACCAAAAACAGGCTTTTCCAACAGTTACCGCTGGAGTTGCTCCACACTGGAGACGCTCCAGGCGGGCAGGCTCGCCGCAGCTCTGGACACTCTGTGCCTGGAGGAGGTTCCTGACACTGGCGGGGGCCGGGGCCAGGAGACGGCTGGGGTCCTTCCTAACCCTAAGATGGAGACATTCTTTATTCTAAGCTGGAGAAACTTCCAGCTTCGTTCCTCTTAATGTAGTGAACTCTCTCATACCCAGGAAGCATCCTTAGTTTCTCTCCTTTTCATTCTTGACATCCCGTACGCTGCCTCCAGAACCTGTGCGCTTCTCTCTAAGACACCATTTCGGGAACCGCTGCAGCGCGGCCTCGTGATCCACATGCGACCCCTCCTGTTTCCGCCGAGTCCTCACCAGCCAGCAGGCGGGCTGACCTTGGTAAAGTCACAAATCCTAGCAGTGAACTTCCTGATCGCACACCTCACCAGCTTCTCGCTGCACCTGGATAAAATGCAGTCCCCGAGTTGGCCCCTGCCCCTCCCACCCCAATCTGCTGCTCTCTGCCTGTCACTCCTCTGCTCTGGCCACACTGACCTGCCCTCTGCTCACGCCTGCCTGGGTGGGTCCATCTCCTCTTCCCTCTGACTGGAGACCGTCTGCTTAGATGTCCACACGGCTGCTGCTGGTGACCTCTTGGTATTTGAAAACCTGCTCAAATGTCACCTCCTTGAGGAACATGTCCTTCCTGGTCGCCATCTAGGCTGGAATCTCCACTCTCTCTCTAATGCTTCTTTTCTTTTCTTCTTGGCACTTACCTCTACCTGAAGTTCTCTCCCTCAGAGCAGGGTCCTTGCCTTTCCAGTTCACTGCTGTACACCCAAGGGCTTCTCTCAGTGCCTGGCACACAGCAGGTACTCAGAAACATGGACTGAATGAATGAATAACCCCCCAAATCAGGGACCTAAGAGGCATCCAGAAGTTATTGCAAGTATAACTAATTGACTATGAATCACTTTTCATTTGATTCCAGGACTTTCTCTTCTAAATGGAGGCTCTGTCATTCTTAATGGTGTTAAATCAAACTTAGTTTAAAGCTGCCTCCTTGAATACTTTAAGCTCAGCCTAAAGGTTTCTCTGTTCATAGTGAACTCTAAGCTAGAAGGAGGTGTAAACAGGCTGTAACCTACTCCTGTGTCAATCGCCGAGTTTTGGCCAATCAAAGGGGACCAAGTGTTTAAACTGTGTTCAAATAAGACAAATGCTGAGCTGTATCCCATCCAGCTATTTCTGTACCTCACTTCCATTTTCTGTACATCACTTTTCACTTTCTGTCTATAAATCTTCTTCTACCACGGGGCTGTGCTGGAGACTTTGAGCATACTCTGGCTCGGGAGGCCGATCCATTTATGAATCATTGTTTGCTCAATTTAACTCTGTTAAATTTAATTTGGTGAAGGTTTTTCTTTTAACAATGGTTTTAATTATGTGGAGTTCGAATGAGAAGGGGAATGTTAAGTAACCATCAGATTATATCCATGAGATTTGTTCGGATTATGAAGTTTTTTTCTTAAAAAAAAAAATGAAAGCAAAACCCTTCTTTTATTTACCCCATGAGAGTTCTCAGCATGCACAACCATCACGGGTGGAAACTGTTGGAAAGCACGTGTGTGTGAAGGATGTGTGTCTAAATGACCAGAGATACAAGAGTTTTTTTTTTTTTTTTTTTTTTTTTTTGTGAGATAGAGTCTCGCTCTTTCGCCCAGGCTGGAGTGCAGTGGCATGATCTCGGCTCACTGCAAGCTCCACCTCCCAGGTTCACGCCATTCTCCTGCCTCAGCCTCCTGAGTAGCTGGGACTACAGGAACCCGCCACCACGCCTTGCTTTTTTTTTGTATTTTTAGTAGAGACGGGGTTTCACCGTGTTAGCCAGGATGGTCTCGATCTCTTGACCTCGTGATCCGCCCATCTCGGCCTCCCAAAGTGCTGGGATTACAGGTATGAGTCACTCTCTCTAAGAGCAGGGTCTGGCCGGTACGAGAGATTTAAAGGGTGTTCTTCTCAAAGTTGTGTTCCGGCGGCCTTCTCTCTCAGAATGACATGAGAATGCCATCAAAAAGACTGTTTCTGGGCCCCACCACTGCCACCGAATCAGACCTGTGAGCAAGAACCCCAGGGAAATCTCCGCTTCCCCAGCAGTTTCCCAGGTCATACTCTGTGGCCCTGCAAGTTAGAGCCCTACCTTAGAGAGATTTCCAGGAGAAAAGCAGGAGCAAAATGAATAAGACTGAGTGAGACACAGAAAGTCAGTGAGGGGGGGAGGGAGGATGGGGTTGCCTCTGGCAATGAGGTCAAGGCTGGCCCAGGGGGAGGTGGGGAAGGTGGCTTATGGCTGAAGGGGATGAAAAGCCCCCCTCCACATCCCCTTCTCTGCCAGTGCAAAGGCTCTGCCCTTCCAGCCTGGATTCCATCACCCAGCGTGAGACTGCTGCAAAAGCAAACTCATTTTCTAGGTGGATGGAACCGGGAGGTGATCCAAGTCAGTGCTCGCATTGACAGCTGTGGAAACTAACACCCAGGACGGGCAGGCAGGCCCTGGTGGGGACCACAGAGGGTCAGTGGAGGGTGCTTTGGCTCAAGAAGGGGAGGAGGGGCAGCGGTGCCAAAGCTAAGCCTCACACTTTAGTTGGCGGCTCAGTCTAATTGGATATAGCCTTATAAGTGGCAGGGTGATTGAGTAGTCTCTGGCCATTGGTCTTTCTGGAGCCTCAGTTTTCTCAGGTGCCAAATGGGGGTAATAATAATAGCAACAAGTACTGAGCCCGCTGTGCACCAGGGACTGTGCTGATGTAGCCTTGGGAGGCAGGTGTTGTTGCCATTGCCATCTTACAGATGAGGAAGAGAAGGCATCACATGGCGAAATCACACAGCTGGTGAGCTGTGGAGCAGGGAGGCAGACGCAGCCGGCCAGTTTCCAGCAGCTCCAGTCTCAGCCTCTGTGCACACCCCGCTGGAGCTGCCAGGGACACTCCATCTATGACCACGTTCACCACAAACTACAAAGAGCTAGAGGCATGTGAGTCTGGGTGGTATCGGTACCAAGAGGCCTGAGTGCATCATAGCTCAAGAACAAGGAGTAGGAGACAGTCCGACCTTGGCTCAAATTCTCCATCACTTTTTAGCTCTGTGAATTTAACCCCTGAACTTTAAGTTCCCTGATTCTAACATGGCTCTTGACTTACAGGTGAGGAACAATTGAGATAGAACATTAAAGGTCATAGCCCAATATGTGATGCTGGTAAAGTAAATGCTCTCCATTCTAGTTTTGGAAAGAGTATATTCCTGGAAAGAGTTTAGTTGCCCTCCTGTCAATGCCCTCCAGGCCCTCAATGTCCTGTTAAAACAAGGTGCTCCAGATGGGGTGAGTCCTGCACATCACACAGCAGAACTGCTTTCTCCCTGATCTGAGCACCGTACTCCTATGAATGTAGCCCAAGGCAGAGGTTAAAGCATCTACTCAATTCACTTGGGAGCTTCTAGTTCCAGGAACACTATGACAAATACCATTTCAAATGAGTAACATTTTTTAAGTAAAGAGAATAATCAAGTGAAAATGTCTATTCTGTGATTCTTAGTCTCATAGATCAGGTTTGCCAAAAGGAGGGTCCCTGTTCCCCAACATCTGCTACTATGAATAAGTGGTGCATTTACAAACTGCCTGCTGCTATGGTCTGGTCTGGACTGGAGACCAGCGACTCACCCCCAGCCCTGGCTAGATTTCATCCAGTCCTGGTACCAGGATGCACATACTCTGTCTCAGTGGCTTGAAGAAGTCTCTACATGAACCAGTTAGAGCAGCCAAAGAGCTGTGAACAGCAGCTGGACATCACACTAGCTTAAAATTTTGAATTTAGAGCAAAGATGGCACCAACATGGCTGGGCGCGATGACTTACGCCTGTAATCCTAGCACTTTGGGAGGCCAAGGTGGGTGGATCACAAGGTCAGGAGATCGAGACCATCCTGGCTAACATGGTGAAACCCCGTCTCTACTAAAAATACAAAAAATTATCCAGGCGTGGTGGTGGGTGCCTGTAGTCCCAGCTACTCGGGAGGCTGAGGCAGGAGAATGGCGTGAACCCGGGAGGCAGAGCTTGCAGTGAGCCAAGATCATGCCACTGCACTCCAGCCTGGGCGACAGAGTGAGACCTGGTCTCAAAAAAAAAAAAAAAAAGAAGATGGCACCAACATGAGTGGCAGCTGCTTGTGCAGATGGCACTAAGACCCCTTTTCTCTGAGTGGTGAGTGACAGTGGTACCAAGCAGGTAGAAGCCAATCAGCCTCAGGAATGTGGTGACGCAGTTTATAAGACAGTGGGGGTGAAGGAAGGTGAAAGGGTTGGCGGCAGGGCTGGGCAAGGTTGTGGACAAAGGTCAGTGGACTGAGAGGCAAACAGCACCAGATGAGACTCCCAGGAACCTTCCAAACAGCCCGGGAGCCAGAAAAGTCCCTAGGCCCCACTTCCTGCTCCAGCTGCCAAGAGAGGGAATCAGCTCTCAAGTTCACGAGGGCAGAAATGGGGCTCGTGTCCCAAGGCAGCTGTAAGTTCAGGCGCCCAAGGCTTCAGATAGGTGTCCCACGGGGCCTGATGGTGACAAAGCTCATTCTTCAAAAGAAGTCTGATTCTTGGATGAAATTTCCCACTTTTCAAGACACTATATGGACAAGACAAAACTCATCCATGGGAACGCAGCAGGGAGACCACGTGGGATACACAAGACTTGGGTAGAAGAGGGAGCCCTCAGGGGCGGGCATCACCTCGGGTGTGGAACAGGGAGCCTCTGCCCAGGTTGGGAAGATGGAACTGCCTCCTCCCTCCCTGCAATCAGGCCGGGGAGGCCCTACCTTCAGCTCCAGATCAGTGTAAATCTGCGGCCTCAGCAGGCTGAGCAGGTAGGACGCGCGGGAGAACTTAAACCCTGAAACCGAATCCAATGAAGATGGTCACCAGGGGTCAGCAGGGATGAAGACCATCACTGGGGGTCAGCGGGGATGAAGTCCGTCACGGGGGGTCAGCGGGGATGAAGTCCGTCACCGGGGGTCAGCGGGGATGAGGACCGTCACCGGGGGGTCAGCGGGGATGAGGACCGTCACCGGGGGGTCAGCGGGGATGAGGACCGTCACTGGGGGTCAGCGGGGATGAAGTCTGTCACCGGGGGTCAGCGGGGATGAGGACCATCACTGGGGGTCAGCGGGGATGACGACTGTCACCGGGGGTCAGCGGGGATGAGGACCGTCACCGGGGGGTCAGCGGGGATGAGGACCGTCACCGGGGGTCAGCGGGGATGAGGACCATCACCGGGGGTCAGCGGGGATGAGGTCCGTCACCGGGGGGTCAGCGGGGATGAGGACTGTCACCGGGGGTCAGCGGGGATGAGGACTGTCACCCGGGGGTCAGCAGGGATGAAGAGGATGAAGACTGTCCCCGGGTCACTGCCCTCCACTCCCCCATGCCACATCAGAGCTCACCTGGGACGATCTCCTCAGTGACAGCTGCACCCCCGATCACATGGCGCCTCTCGAAGACCGCGGTGTTCACTCCCAGTCTCTGCAGGTACGCTGCCTGGGAAGTGGGGCAGCACACAGGGCCCTCCCTTTATCCCTCTGAAATGTCAGGGCTCCCTCGGGCTGACCCACAGACTAAGGTCCTCACTATAGGCCAGTATGCCCCACACCCCACGGCCTCCCCACCCTGCTCATGCTGTTCCCCGCTCTGGGAATGCCCTTCCCTGTGCTTCCCCTTCCACTCTTGCCTTTCCTAGATGTCCTCTAAGATCGGACAGGCCTGCTCCCGCCCCTCCACTTCCCAACTGAAGGTGGTCTTCCCTCCTCAGAGGCCTGGTGCCTCGGGGTCTCACGCTGCTTCCTGCCACCCTGCCCTGGGATGTTCCTCTCCTTCAGGCAGAGCACAAGCCTCATTCCTCCTACAAGCGCAGCACAGTGAGGTGAAACTTGTGAACGCTGACTCTTCTGCCCAGGTTCAGCCCCTCGTTCTCTCTCTGCTGCTGCAGCCCCAGTACCTGATCCGCCTGGCCTGTTTGTTCACATGCAATAATGGGGCTGATGAAAATAGTCCTGGCTTTACCCACTTCATAAGGCTGCTGTGAAGATGAACTGAGCTGGTCCCTAGACAGGGCTTTAAGTGGTCCCTGGCACAGAGAATATGCTCAGTAAATGAAGCTGCTCATAGCAGTGCTTTATTTTGGGAGAACAAATGATGCAAGGATTTCTATTAATTTTTTTCTAGCACTTAGTGGAAAAATCAATAAATATCTGTTGAACCAAACTGGTCATGAATCTACCGATCTAAAATGCTGGCCCTGTGACCACAGGAATGGTGCCATGCAAAAGTCAGACTTTTCAAAAAGCTCCCTTGGCAACTATTATGTGCCAGAAACAGTGAGTACATTGTCTTATTTAATTTTTCCCACCAGCCAAGAGGCAGGTACTATGATTCTCCCATTTTACAGATGAGAAAACTGAGGCTCAATAAGGTTAACGGCTTGCCTCAGGCTCACAGAGCTGATGAGCAGAGGTCTTCGGAATTGAAACGAGACGGTGTGAAACCAGCGTCTATCCTCCTAACATATCCTACTGAGAAAGAAACAGCAGCCGTCACTCAGTGGCTGAGGCCTGGCACGCAAGGTAAGCTGCATCTCCTATTACACAGGAACGATCTCACAGATGGACAACCCCAAACAAGGTTTCTATAAGACTATGATAAAATGAGGCAAGCACAAACAAAAGCAATGTCTCAGTGCCATCGAGAAAATACCCAACACCCCTCTTGGCTGAAATGAGTGACTGCTACTTCTGTATCAATTACTGCTCTCCGCACACATCTCTCCTCCCTACGGATCGGATTTCTTGAGCTGCCCAGTTGCAGGGCTGCCCCTCCTTCCTGACAGTATCTAATCTATGGCAAGCCCTATTTCCTTAGGCCTTCCCTCGAATCAACCAAAGCTCAGATCCTGTGCTAGGTTCTTTCTAACACCTTCCTACTGAGGCAACCCGAGGTTCCCCTGATGTGAGTCCCCTCGCTGCAAGGAGCAAGAAACCCAACTAGACTAACTACACGTGTGTTCCTGGTGGGCTTTGGGTGAAGGGGATGGATGCCAGCCTTCCTTGGCCTGGAAACTTCCAATAATAACAGCCACCACTTGCATGTGATGGGTTCTAGCAGCAAATGATCCATTACCTTCACAGCAGCTCTGTGAGGGCTGGTGTCATTGTTCCATTTTACAGTGACTCGGAGAGGCTAAGTGACTCACCTTAACCTTCACAAAGTGGCAGAGCTGGAAGATGAATCTTTGTTTATATTAATATAAAATCAGGCCTATATTAATATAAAACTAGGCCGGGCGTGGTGGTTCATGCCTGTAATCTCAGCACTTTCAGAGGCTGAGGCAGGCGGGCCACCTGAGGTCAGGAGTTCGAGATCAGCCTGGCCAACATGGCGAAACCCCATCTCTACTAAAAATACAAAAATTAGCCGGGTTTAGTGGTGGGCGCCTGAAATCCCAGCTACTCAGGAGGCTGAGGCAGGAGAATTGCTTGAACCCGGGAGGTGGAGGTTGCAGTGAGCTGAGATCGTGCCATTGCACTCCAGCCTGGGTGACAAAGCAAAACTCCATCTCAAAAAAAATTAAAATAAAATAAAATAAAATCAATGTTTTAAATTACTGATCCATTGAGTTACAAAATGCCCCACATAAAATGTTCAGGTAAAACTTAGACACCAGGCAAAGTATTAAGGTTTAACATCAGTCCGTTAGCACATCCACAGTTACCCCCATATTGATATTCTAGAGCTGCCGCTGCTTCAAGAAGATGTTCCACGTTTGTTTTGTGGCTTGAATACCTTCTGTGGCCTCCTGGAGGTACCTAGACTCAGTTTACAGAAGCATAGGCTAAGGATAGCTCTGGGCCACCCAGCTCAGCTTGGGATCTTGAAGTCAGTTGTGCTGGGGACGGGGCACTGGCCCTTCTGCTAGGCTGAGCTCCTCAATGTATCCAGGGCACACTTTGGCCACATAGCGGCTATGTACTCCAAGGTGGTACGTGGCCTGGACCTGGCTGGGAGCACAGGGCTCTAGACACAAGGGCTGCCTATGATCTGGAGTCAAGGGCCCCCACCCTGCCCTGGGTGCCCAATCCCCTGCTTCCCACCTGCTCCCATGCTATGTTGGTTACATGCTTCCCTGCCTTGTCAGCTTGTTTCTGGAAGCTCCCTGACTCCCTCCCAGGCCATGGGGAAACCACCTTTCCCCATTAGGGGAAGGGAGGAAAGCAGCCTGTGATGTCCTCAGCTGGCTGCAGATGTGCATTCGACCCAGTCCCCGGTCAGCGCGGGAGAGCAGAGAGTGCCGACTCGGCTGCCTTTTCCTTCTCTCTCGAGGCCCTTATCCCACCTGCTTCTTCACACTCCTTCCCAGGCTGCTGAGAGCCACACGCCCAGGGGCCAGTGAAGTGGGATCAACTGGGGAGGTACTCACAGCCACTAGTCCGTTGTGTCCTGCATCGAGACAGGGGAGAGGGAAGGAAAGCATCACTAGTCAGCCCGCGGGCAGACGGACAGTCCTTGAGGAATGTGCTCACTGCTCCCTGTCCCCATGCCATGAAGATCCAGTGACCCTCCCCTCCCCTTCCCGCATTCAGATGTTGGAACAGCAGCTAGATCAACTCCATGAAACACCAGATCTTCAAGGAGTCGGAAAAGCCTGGTCCTTGCCCTGGCTGGAAAAGTCCTGCTCCCCTGGCTTGGTCAGGGGCTCTGCTGGAGTGAGGGGCTGATGCTTGGGAGGTGCAGGTGATGGTATCTGAGGGAGCAGCACGGCTGACTTGGCAAGCAGGAGAAGCAATGGGTGGCTGCATGCTGGTGCGCCAACGTCCCGTCTCGCATGGCAGCATCAGCATCCGGGGGAGTGCTGGTCATGTGGGTAGCTGCTGTCAAGTGTGGCTTGTTTTGCCCACATGTGGTTCACAATCGGCACAACGGTGCCCTAGGAGGCTTCATTCACATGGGTTTGTTTTTGCCAATCCCCAGTGTTCCAAAAATAAAATGTGAACAGTTCGACAGGAAGTAAACATGTACAGTTTCAACATGTGCTGGAGTGACTGGCTGTGCTTCAGGGTGCCTTGAGCTGAGAGGCCTGACTTTGGCCTTGGCATCTCATGTTCCACACCAAGCCGCTGGGTAGCAAGTGCCTCTCCAGCTCTGATAAACTCAGAATCACCTGGGAGGCTGTGTAAATGTCGACTCCCAGACCCCCTCCCAGGAGTCTATTCAGCAGGTGTTTCACAGAACCAAGAGTTTCATGAGCTAAAATTAACTCTGACCACATGAGAAGCATGTGAGAAGCTAGTTGGTTATAGTTCATCTTTAAAAGTGCTGCTTGACATACTCTTTATTTGTATGGGCTTTTGAAAACGTTCATAAGAAAGTTTAAACAGTCTGCCAGTTGGGACTCATGAGCAGATGGAACCTGTCTCAAAGACATGCAACAAACTAAAGGCAGACAGTCCTGGGCTCAGCCCAGCCTCTGCTGTTTGCCAGGGTGTGACCTCAGAGAGTTGTCAGCTGCCCTGAGCCTTGAGCTTCTTCACGTGGGGAACAGAGGGTGCCAGGGACCCTGCAGCGCGGCAAGGATGAGATAAATGGGAGCTATTTGTCTTTTAATTGGTGCTGATGGTCAGTCTTGGAAAACTCAGTTTTCCAGGCAACTGGGTCCAGTTCAATCACGGCAGACCTCAAATGAGTAAGGTAAAGGATCCAAAGCACAAGACCCCCTCCCAGTGGCCACCCCCAGGTCTGGCTGAGCCCTCCTTGGCTTCTGGTGACACCTCTGTTTCCTTGAAGAGGACTTCAGCTGCGGGCTCTGCTAATCCCCAGACCTGCCTCAGGGGCCCCACAGCAGCCGCCTGGGCCCTTGAGAAGCTGCTCTGGGCGTGGGCTCTGCAGCTGCCTGCATCAGGCAGGGTTGGGTGGATGTGCTGACCTCCGGGAGTCACCTCCTGCCCTCAGAATGCTCATCACCAGCTACGGGGCCAGGAATGTCCATTTTAACAAGCTCCTCAGTCACTCTCAGGCACATTTAGTCAAATGACTAAATCAGAGTCATCTTCAAGGTGGCGGCCAGGTGCCAGTGTGCCTTCAGGGACTCAAGAGGTAACCCTTGTCTCAGAATATGCCACTCTGTTCCTTACTCAGGCCCAAGATGCCTTTAAACCAGGCTTCATGGTATGTTTAACAACTAAAGAAATCATGTCAAGGAAAAGCTCACACACTGAGACTCACTCGCACTTGTAGGCAAGTCACCAAGGCAGCTGGTGACCTAGAGTCAACCTTCCCCATTGGGAGACAGCAGGGTGAGCTGTGGCCGAGTACGGAAGAAAGCAGGGGCTCCTCTGAGGCTAAGCGAGGCGCTGGAGCTGTCTCCCACCAGCCCAGGGAGTTTGTGAGCTGGATGTCAAATAGCCATTGTTAGAAACTAAATTATATAAGCTTACAATTAAATAAATGATATTAAAAACAAAGGTAATAAATACTCCAAACACACTACTTCCTATTTGTTTTACTACATTTGTCTGTTCCCCATGCCTTTGCCGTCATTGGCCTCTAGGTACATATCTGCATGGTGGACATGCTATACAATGATGTGCCACTGGGTATCACTCCCAAATCACATTCAGCAACCTCATCTTGGTGACAAAAAAGGCCATGGTGGGAGTATTCCCACCACCGTCATCAGCAAATATTACACAGCAGGGCTGAATTTATTGTTCTGTGGTCAGGCTTAAGAAAGCGATGGGAAAATGCTAATAATGCAAATTAAACCTAACAGCATTAGCTGTTATAGCATGAATAGCATAAACATTGAAGGAAATCTAGTATTTAAAAAAATTATCTTATTTGAGTAACATCATTCCTGTCATTTAAAGAAGGAGACTGGGAGCGGTGGCTCACGCCTGTAATCCCAGCACTTTGGGAGGCTGAGGCGGGTGGATCACAAGGTCAGGAGTTCGAGACCAGCCTGGCCAACATGGTGAAACCCGGACTCTACTGAAAATACAAAAATTAGCTGGGCGTGGTGGTGGGTGCCTGTAATCCCAGCTACTCAGGAGGCTGAGGCAGGAGAATCACTTGAACCCAGGAGGCAGAGGTTGCAGTAAGCTGAGACTGTGTCATTGCACTCCAGCCTGGGTGACAGAGTGAGACTCTGTCTCAAAAAAAAAAAAAAAATTAATTAAATAAAAATTAATTAAAAAAATAAGGAGTAAGGCTGGGATATAAATCTTTGCTGTTTCACGATCGTCCTACTCTTTACAGAAAATATGGAGCACCATTCTCTTCGGAGCTGCCCTCATTTGTCAGATGCAACTATAGGTTGGCTACTGAGTTTGGCAAAAATCAAAGAAAGCCTTTGGTAAGAATCACTTGCCTAGACTGCATTTAAATTGAGAGTATTGTATTTTTATTTGTAAAATTGTGTGCAGTGTATCTTTTATTTCAATATTTAAAATAAGCATGTGTGTGTCTATATATGTATGTATACACATATATGTATACATATATGCATATGTGTGTGTATATACGTGTGTGTGTATATATGTATGTGTGTGTATACACACACACACACACACACAATCACACATTTTTCCCTAGAGAGGTGACTGTTGAGTATCTACCAGCTCGCAACTGCTCTAGTACATAGGAAAATGAAGACATGCCTTCAAAGCTGCATAATGAGTGCTGTCTGCTTTCGGTCCCTGTCATTATCTCTGTAAGCCCTAGCTGGCAATCATGCATTTGGGGCCCTCTGCAAGTGTGAATGGAAGGCACTAAGGAAGAACCACCTGGTCCTGGGCCTGCTTCTTCCCCTAGCACTCAGTAGACTTTGATACCCTTGAGCCCAGGGGTTGGCAAAGTATGGCAGGATCACTGCAGATTCACAAATGTCCCAGAGCTGCAAGGCAATGGGGGCCACTGCCCTCTGCAGACACGCAGTAGGAACTCCGGAACTCAGTTCTGTTTTATCCTAACTGGCCTTTATGAAATGACTGCAGTTTCTTGTGAGGATGGGTGGCCTCAGTGGTAAGGCAGTGGTGACCAGAACTCACGGCACTGTGGGGGAGGTGGGGGGAGGGTGCTGGATTTCACTTGTCTGTTGGCCCAGAGCTCGTTCCAACCCTTAAAACCACAGGCTGAGAATGTGGTGGAAACTAGGTCATTTTGCAGGAGATAGAGGGAAACCCCTGAGCTCACCTAGTCTTCTTGTCATTCTCCATGGACGATCCAAGCCCAGAGAAGGCAAGCATTTGCCCCAGGCCACACAGCAGAGCCAGCACGGAATCCCGGGTGCCTGCCTGTCAGATGGAAGTGCTTTCCGTTGCAGCCCCTGCTAGTGTATAAACTTCTGGCGGGTTATGCCCGAGGAGAGAGCAGTGGGGCTTGGCAAGGCCTCCCCCTCCCTACCAAGCTCCGAGCAGGGCTGCCTTCCCGCCCCTCAGCTCTGGCCCAGCCTGCTTTACCACTTTACCTGCTCCTATCACCACCGCATCATACTCAGGCTTCAGACCTCCCCCGGCTTCTGTGTGAGCTCGTCTCCAAGCTGGGAAGGGAGAGGCAGCCACAGCCCTGCAGAGACCTCGGCCACTTGCAGCCATTTCTGCCCCAGGCTGGGCCTTGCTAGGCAGGGAGTTAGCTAGAGATTTGCTTTTGTGCTGCCCTAGGCAGGGGGTGGAGCAGGGAGGAAGCAGGAAGAGGAGGAGCTGCAGTCCCCCTCTAGCCCTCCTCCACCGTGCATTCTTGGCCACAGGCCAGCCTCCTGCTGCTGTGCAGCTGTGCTGGGCCATCGGGAGGGGTTGCCTATTAACCAGGCGGTGTCACCTCCAGGATGCAGGGGAATAATGACAAAACTGATAATCCACTGGGGTTCCCATGTCAGGCTGGCACTGTGCTGAACTCTGTAGGCAAAACTCCCCATTTTACAGATGAGGGCACTGAGGCTGCGGGGTTAGGGAGTGGTGGAGGCAGAGCGGAGCTCCAAAGGGCCCTCTCCTCCCCTGTGCGGCTCCCTTCTCAGTCAGAACTGAAATGCCTGGGATGGCAAGTGCTCGTGTCAGACTCTGCTCCGACTCCATGCTGAGTCTGCCAGTGCAGAGTGGTGATGCCTCTACACCCACAGGAGGCACCCAGGGCAGCCATCTAGTGTCACCACGACCAGGGCCTTCAGACACCGCAAAGGCAGCTGTGTTTGTCGCTGAGGAGCACTGGAGTCCTCTCCTAAATGCTCAAACACACCCCTCAACGAGGGCTTAGGGGCAAGTTCACTGTCTGTAATTCTCTGGGTTTTCTTCTTTTGAAGGCCCGGCCAATTCTCTTCTTTTGGCACTTTGTCCATTTTCCCAGAATCCCCAAGGATTGGAAGTCACATCGGTAAATACCTCCAGCTAAAGTTCTTTCTGACCCTCCCTTAGGCCTGCCTTGAATGAGAAGCCCCTTTGCTTAGCAGAGTGTTCCCTAGGAGGAGAAGGCCCCTCGCAGCGGAGTGGAGAGTTCCCGCGCTGCTCTGACACGGCAGTGTGAAGGAAACCTGCTGTTGGTAATGAATCTCAGAACTGGGAGAGTATGTGGAGATGATCCTAAGAGGGGGTTCCGAGGACCCCTCCACACACCATGGACAGTTACCCCGCATGTGAGCATCTCTGCTAAGATCTGATTCAGGATGTCCACCCCTGTGCTATTTATTATATAGAAAGATCAAGGGGACTGGTTAAACTAGACATATCACATTCAGCCACTGCTAAAAACTAAAGGGAAATAGTAGGCGACAAAAGCAGGTGTCCTGAACACTGGTGGGTTCAGAGGATTGGAGTTTTTTCCTTTATGCTTTTCTGTATTTTCCACAATCCATGCTTTTCATTGCCATTCCATCAGATGATGATAAGGAGGACCACAGATCCAGTCACCTGAGGGGACACTTCCTCACTGCCTCCTTCTCTGGGTTTAGACCAACGTGTGGGTTCGAGCTCCCCCAACGCCTCCCCAAAGCTGTCCCCTGCAAGGGAGAGACCAGTCTGAGTGAATTTTGGCCCAAGACTGAAGACACAGAAGGCGCGGCTCCCGCATGCACAGCACAGGGCCATCTGTTCCTGTGCTGCGGTAGACGCTGATTTCTGCCACGCCGCCCTCTCTGGCCCAGCACCAGCCTCCTGGCCTCAGAGGAGCAGATGCTCCCAGTCCCAGGGCTCTCAGGATCTCTTGTCCTTGGGTCCATTCTGGGACAGGAACTTCTCGGTTGGAAGAGAGGGGCTGTACCCCTTGGGTGGTGGTTCTCAATCCAGGGCGCACCACGGAAGCTTTGAAAGACATCAAAGCCTGGGCTCCACGGCTGCCAAGCGAATCCATATCTCTGGGCCAGGGCCAGGGGCTTGAGAACCCCAGCCCCAGGGCAGACGCCAGCCGAGCGTGAAGGGGCTGGGACTTAGCAAGGGCTTATTGGCACGACAGAAGGGTCTAGAAGCACAAGCGTGTTGAGCTTCAGTGATAACAACGACCAACATTTATTGAGCACCTACCGCATTGGGTAATCCTCACACCACCCTGGGAGGGAGGTGCCATCGCTTTAAATGTGAGGAATAGAAGAAACTTTCCGGGAGATGCAGAGAGGAAGTGGCAGGGCTGGAATTCAGACCCAGGCAAAGGAGCACCTTTTACCTGGGGTAGGAGAGAGCTTGCCGGGTGGGCTCCCTCCCCATCTCCCAGGATAAGGCAGAGGCAGCTCTGGAAGAGGAGCTGCTGCCACTTTTGTTTTACGAAGACAAACTGGACCCCTGGGCTTCCCTCTTCCTCCAGAGAGAAGGATCTGGGGCCTTGCACATACCCCACATGGAGGGTGGTCTAGGTGGGGTTTTAGAAACCCTGGGGCCACCCTGGGCACTCTGCCCCATCCTCAGGACGGCCACTGCAGACAGCAGGCTCTTGCCATGGGGAACAGTGACAAGCAAGAGCAGCTGGAGGACGGGGTGCAAAGGCAGACTGCAGCCACCTTGGCCTAGAGCAGGGGGATACGGGAGGCCTCCCAGAGGCGCCGGGCCAGCTGGCCGGCCTGCTGCACCAGCAGGTCAGTGGGGATGACAGACAGGTGCAGGGCCAGCAGCTCGTAGCACCTGACAGCCTCGGCCGGGCGGTTCTTGCTGTAGTAGCGCAGGAGCTTCCTGGGGAGGAAAGGGAGGATGGGATTCAGGAGCGAGGCTGTTGCCCTCCTCCAGTGCCAGAGGCCTCTCGGGGCCCTCGCGAGCAAATGCCCATGTCCTCGGTCATCTCACTAGGGCCCTGCACGTGGGCCTTGACACCTGCTCCTGTTCCTCACTGACCTAACAGTGCCATCCTGGCTACGAGGCAGCAGTGGGCCGGGCGCAGACGTTTCCCGTGCTGCCGAGACCATGCCAGCAGGAAGGTGGTAGGAACACAGACGTGCCCTCCACACCCATCCTCCCTCACTGCACACAGGCCCAGCTGGGAAGGTGTTCCCAGTGTGGATTTCTGGGTCCGGGGTAGGGCACTGCTGAAGCAGAAGCCGCTCCCGGCAGAGGCAAGTACTTATCACCCACACAGGAGCGTCCGTCCCCAGCGGCTCCCGACGCGCCGTCACCTGTAGTAGTCTCCTCCCAGCATGCCAATAGGCACCGAGTCATCGGAGAGGACGGGCACCTCGATCATCTGGAGTTTGTACCCCTGAGGAGGGAGGACAGGGAGGCAGTGGGTGTCGGGGGAGCACACGGGCCCGAGTCAGACGCACCGGGCTCGCAGCCTGGCTTGGCTCTGCCTTGTGCGCTGGGTGCTTGGGAAAATGCCTGGACCTTGGTTTTTCATCTTTGAAGTCAGAATAACAACAGTCGCCTTATGAACATTAGAGACAAAGTATACAAAGTTCCAAGGGCCGGCAGGGTAGCTCTCATTCCCATCAATACCTGGACCTGCACAGGCCACACACACACGCTCAGGAGGGCAACCTGCAGGGCTGTCATTCAGGGTCTTGAAGAGCAGAGCATTCACAAAAGGCCTAAGCCTCTGCTTTGAAAGAACTGGGAATTGCCAGGGTGGGATAAGGTGGGAAGGGAATTAAGATCTGCTGGACGTGCCCTGTGTGCCAGGCACGAACATGGCGATTAGCTGATGCTTGTGTGGGCACCGTGGCCTGCCATGCAGGGGGAGTGGACTCCGCAGCGTGCAGGGCTGCCCCCGTGGCACCAGCTGGGCTGTGTGGCTGACATTCAAACCTGGCCTCTCCAGCTCACAGCTCTGCCTCACTGTATCACCCCACGGGGCCACCCAAGCACACAGACTCCTGTCCCTCCCTAGAAGTGAAGGTAAAGGTCACAGGAATTTTCTAGCACTTCTGTTGTACACAAGTCCTGGGCACTTCCAGGGGCACAGAGGAAAGCAGGGAGCCTGCAGGCTGGGGGAGGACAGCTTGGGCTCCGGCTTCCTCACTTAACAACCTCGGTGGCCCTGGCCATGGCGTCTGATCTCTAGATCGTCGTGTCTCCATCCATACAATGGGGTCAGGGATCCCTGCCCCGGCCACCGCACAAGGCTGTGAGGGATGACTGAGAGAACAGCGGCGGAGGGCCCCAGTAACCGCCCTGCCCTATGGAAAGGGATGGCTGTCACCCTCAGTGAACAAAGAGAGTGCAGGGTGGGTGCAGGGGAAGGCACAGCAGTTCAGGGACCCAGAGACCAAGGGCTGCGAGGGAGGAGGAACGCTCCTGAGAGCTGGAACCACCATTCCTGGTGACAAACGAGATGGAAATAAAAGAGAAACAAGAGGAAAGCAAAGAAAGGGAAGAGACAGAGAGGAGGGAGAGACAGGAGGAGAGGGGCAGGTGGCCACAGACAGTAAGTTCCCCTCACCGGAGCCTACTCTGCAGTAACGGTGAGGCCCAGAGGAAGCAGTGTAGGGCCAGGAGGCCAGGGCCCCGAGCCACACCACCAGTGTCTCCTTGGGTGGCCTGGCTCACTGCTTCAAGCAGGGCCTATGCTCTTGAGTTCAGGGGCCTATGCCACAGGGATGACCGTGTGCCATGCTTGGCATGTGATGCTGGCGACATGGAAGCACCAGTGACAAAGTGTATGATCTGAGTCACGTTTCCCACAGTGGGGCGTGTGCCTATCTGCTCACATGTGTGCCTGGATGCCACGTGGACAATGGCAAGAGTTTGCCAGACAGCTGGGCAGAGGGCTCACAAAGCAGTTAAATGCCCACGTGAAATTGTGACCTCTGAGCTCTGGGTCCCAACCTGCTGGGCTTACCAGCAACAAGAAGAGAAGATGAGACACACAGACAACAATTCAGAAGAAATGAATCCAAGAGTGACAGAGCGGGAAGTGTGTGCGGACTGTCCTGGCCCAGGGACTCGGCCTCACCTACCATGTCATTCTCGAACCACAGGAAGTAGGAGCAGTAGAAATCGCCCTCCTGGAACAGCAGTGTGGTGTAGCCCTTCTGCAGGTATCTGCGCGCCAGCTGGATCAGAGACCAGACCTGGGGAAAAGAGGAGAGTGAGGAGCACCACTCTCTCAGCGTTGGTCTGCCCGGGCAGCTCTCACCTCTGAAGGAAGGAAAGTGCGCAGATGAGAAACCCGTGAGTGCCAGGGGCCTCTCCTGGTACCTGGGCACTGCCTTGGCCCAGAGCAGAAGGCTCAACAATAAATCATTATTGGATGGATGGACTACCCTCCAGTTAGCGTGGGGGCAAAATATATGTAAAAAAGCTTTGTGTAACTTTACTATACACATAAGCCATACATTAGTGAACTGGGCTGGTGTGGTGGCTTATGCCTATAATCCTAGCACTTTGGAGGCTGAGGTAGGTGGATTGCTTGAGCTCAGGAGTTCAAGGCCATCCTGGGTAACATAGCAAAACCTCATCTCTACAAAAAACACACAACAATTAGCTGGGTGTGGTAGCACACACCTGTAGGCCCAGCTACTTGGGGGGCTGAGGCGAGAGGATCGCTTGAGCCCAGGAGATTGAGGCTGCAGTGAGCTGTGTTTGTGCCACTGCACTCTAGCCTGGGTGACAAAGTGAGACCCTGTCTCAAAAAATAATAATATTAAAATAAATAAATTAGTGAAATTAGAAAATAGCCAGGGACATCATTAATTAACACAGGAGAACAAGGTGTGGTCTCCTGAATCCATCCTAGTGCCCTTCAGGCTGGGAACTGATGATGGTCCAGGTGAGTGACCCTGTAGGATGTCCTGAGCCAGGGGTGAAGTCCAAATCAGAGCTCACCAAGGGGTCAGATGGAAACCCAGGGCCTGAGAAACCACATGCCTTAGTTCCCCTGGGACTGTCCTCCTGCCTGACGCAGGGACCGTCACCAATGCTGCCAGCGAAGTGCCCCAGGGAAGGCCGTAGGGACAGTGGGCTCTCTCCCACCTCTCAGGGCTGGGAAGAGACTCGAGGAGCCCGCTCCTCCACCCTTAGCGGGAGGGACAGGCAATCTGCTCCAAACTGCATCACTGTGCAATTACTAATTAAATCTGCCATGGATTGATTATACTTTTCAGGAAAGTAATTTGACAACATCCATTAATAACCTTAAAAACATTCCTCCCATCTGACTTAGTAATTCCATTTCTAGGAATCCATATTGGGGACATAATCAGAGATGGGGACACAGATGTATGTAAGGTGTATACTGCAGAATTATTTATAACAGCAAAAGCCTAGAAATAATCTGTATGTCTAAACATCAGGGAAATGATTCAATAAATTATGTTACATTCACATGATGGACTATTACGGAGCTGCTAAAAATCATGTCTATAAAGAATTAATGGCATGAGGAAATGCATCTGATATAATGTGAAGTGAAAACATGGTAACAAAGTTGCACATACAGAGTGATCTCAACTACAACAAACTGCACAGAAAACCAACAAAAAGAAACGTACCAACATAACCCCGACTGTCTCCAGAATGAGGGGCAAGGACGAAGATGGTGATGACGATGCTGCCAGTAAGTACTGAATGAACTGTATCTGCATTTTGTACCACGTGCTATGCTAAATATTTGACACGTATCCTCTCATGTAATCTTCATAACTCTGTGACATAAATAGCAGTATTTTTTCCTTCTACGGATGAGGAAACTGACACTTGGGCTAAGTACTGCCCAAAACCACATAACTGGTGGGAGATGGGGCTGGGCTTCCAACACATGCCTCTGCCACCCAACTTCCCATCTTCCTATCTTGTTTTAAACATTAGAATAGACTTCACTTGCTCCCCACGGCCCCCCCGCCAAAAAAAGAAAGCGCACACACACACACACACGTATAGTTTTTTTGGACAGTGGCAGGGGTCCTCCCCCTACCAAAAATATAACTTTGCCATGAAAACCCGTCAGTTAAATAAGGAGAATAAAAGAATTTCCAGGGAACGCTTCCCTAACAGAAATCACCTTGTTTTAAGTTCTGATGCCCAACTGATGTACCTTGCCGTTCTCTCCATTCTAGCTCATTCAACAAATACTTGTTGAGCACTTATTTATGCTGGCACTGGCCGTTGCCTCTTCTGGCCTGCTGCCCAGTGCACTCTGCTAGCCCCAGGTATGTGGATCACACCAGGAGGGACTGCCCAATATTGGCTAAGGCCCACCCATCCCCACCCTGGGCCCGAATGGTTACCTTGGTTTTGACAAAGGCAGCCAGCGGCCCCTTGCCTAACTCGGACGAGGTCTTTTCACTGCAGTTGAGGGAAGGTGCCACCATCTGCCCGGTTGTGCGGTCCACGTAGATGAAGTGCACCAAGCCTGGGAAGTCTTCTAGGTAGGTGAAGGTCTGAGTTAAGGTGCGTACCAAGCCAGGAGCTAGGGATGACCTGCCTCTGTCCTCGCCCTGGGCTTCCAGCTGTGCCCAGTCATGGTGGCAGGAGGGCCAGGACTGCTTCTCTCCAGCAGCTTCCATTTCAGCCAAGCCCCCTGTATCCTTGCTTCCTCAGATCCCCACTACCTCCCAGCTCCCCAGGCCTTGAAAAGCTGTAAGATCCTCAACGCTTGCACAGTTGACATGGGCAGTTCTGGCCCTATAGGAACATGGTTTGCTCACAGTTCATCGCTTTTATAAGGGATGAATTTAAGTCAGACACACGTGAGGCTGGAATGTGAGCACAGCCACTTGGTTCATGAGTGAGCCTAGCTGACCGCCCAACCTATGCACCTCAATGTGACCTTGCTAAACCCTTACACTTCATCATGAGAGTCTGGAAGGCTCCCATTTGGGAGGGGAAGAGATATCCATGGAAGGGCAGCAGCTGGTGGCTAAAGAGGCCCTCTGGCATCCTTTCACCTGCCCACTGAGGACCTGCCTCAGGAGACTGAGGGCTGGACACTTCAGAGATGATATGGGAAAAGCTGTTTTACATCAAGTTCCATGGAAAATCAGTATTCAATGAAATTAGTGTTCCATAATAAAAGGGTCAAACAGTCTTAGGAATGGTTTTTGAAACAGGGATAAACATTTACTGTAGGCCTTCTCGGAGCTTTTACATGCCACTGTCCACTGTGATGATCTAAGAAGGACATGGCCCTTTCAACCCAACTAGACCACAGGAACCCACCCCGTCTCCACCCCTTGTGGAATACCTATTACTATTTTGCCAGCTGGCAACACTGACACAAAAATGGCTTTTGTGAATTAACTTTGGGACAGGAGGAATTCCTGTAATTTCAGCTTGGAATGTTCCTATAGACAAGGCACACGGGTCACTATGTCCTATTGTTTTCCTTCAGAGAGGTGGTGAGCAGCTGAGGGGTGGAAAATACATTCCCCTTCCCTGGGGCCCACAGTCCTTCTAGGGAGCAGGTGTGCAGGCAGAAGACCTGAGAGGCTTGTTGGGCTGGCTGGAGCCCCGGCGTCAGGATATGACACCATGGTGATGTTCCTCCTGCTCTTCACCAGCAAGAAGTCCTTCCAGTCCGTCAGCTTCTCCCTGCCGAGGGAAGCTCGGGCTGCATGGAGGAAGTACGGGCCCCAGACCCTGCCCTTGCCATCCAGGGGGCCGCACTGCACTTACCGCATGAGCCTCTGCACTTGGTCCTGCAGGTGCTGAGGCAGGTGTGGGCCTCCCCTGTTGGGGGCTGTGGTCAGGAAGTTCAGCCGGTAGATGGCGCAGAGCTGCCGCTTCAGCTTCCCACATGCCTGGAGCAGCCTGGGCATGAGAGAGGAGAGCATCACAGCAGAAGGGACGTAGGGGAGCCCCTCGCCCCATGTGGACCACCTCGTTCCTGCACCCAGGACAGAGAGACCTGGGGACCCCCTCGCCCCGTGTAGATCAACCTGCTCTTGTACCCAGGAGAGACAGACAGACAGACAGACCTAGGAGAGCCCCTCGCCCCATGTGGACCTCCCTTTTCCTGCACCCAGGACAGACAGACCTAGGGGAGCCCCTCGCCCCTGTGTGGACCACCCCACTCCTGTACCCAGGACAGACACAGACCTAGGAAAACCCCTCGCCCCGTGTGGACCACCGCACTCCTACACCCAGGACAGACAGACCTGGAGAACCTCTTGCCCCTATGTGGACCACCCCATTCCTGCAGGACAGACAGACAGACCTAGGGGGGCCCCTCACCCCATGTGGACCACCCCACTCCTGTACCCAGGACAGACTTAGGAGAACCCCTCTCCCCATGTGGACCAACTGACTCCTGAACCCACGATGGACAGACAGACCTAGGGAACCCCTCACCCCATGCGGACCTCCCTGTTCCTGCACCGAGGACAGACAGACCTAGGGGAGCCCCTTGCCCCGTGTGGACCACCCCACTCCTGCACTCAGGACGGACCGACCTGGGAAGCCCCTCATTCCTAGGCAGACCACCCTGCTCCTGCACCTGGGACAGACAGACGGAGAGACCTAAGGGAGCAGCCACAGCTGATCAGGCAATAGGAAGGAGCTTCCCAGCTTCTCTACATGGTGTGCCACATATGTGGGAAGAAATCTCCTTTCTTGAAATTATTTTGATGATAAACGATGTGCAGTGGTGGAGGAGATGCGGTCTCCCAGGGAACAGTCTGCCTGGGCACATGACCCACCCCTTGTCCTGAGGCCCACCACTTACTCGGAGGAGGATCCGGGCTCACTTTTGGAGAAAGCCTTGGCCTTAAACTCCAGCCAGGTGCTCTGTAAGGAAGACAGGTGGCAGGTTTGCGTCCCCACCATGTTTCCAGTGAGGTCCAGGCCAAAGTCCTTCCCAGATCAGGCTCTGAGAGGGCACAGGGCCCCCAGACAAATCTGCCCATCTGGCCAATGCAGGCTACCCTGGCAGGCCCCACCAGCCCCCTGCAGACTTCAGTGTGCCATGTTCTGGTCACTCAGCAGCGTTTATTTAAAGGGCAGTTTCCAGGGGCTCACTGTCTGATGGGCACAGGCACGTACAGTAGCGCCCTCACAGTGACCAGGCCAGCCCCTCAGGGTCGGGGGGCACACATAGGGCAGGGGCTGCGGTGTGCAGAGAAGGTGCTGCTGCAGGAGCTGGGAGGGCATGGGGTGGGCATGGGGTAGCCATGCAGGGGGCGGCCTCACAGGATCTCTATAAAGCAGAAGAACTTGGTGTTCTAATGAGTGCTCCTTAGGACGCCCTGAGGCACTGCGGGATGTGGCACTGCCTCTGCCTCCGTGAAGAGGAACCTGGGTCTGGGGCATCAGCTGCTTGCTCTGCCTCCTCCAGCCAATCCTGCAGCCTTCAGACTGACAGGCACTCCAGCCACAATGGGTCCCAGCTCCTCAAACACCCAGGCACCGCCACTGCTTAAATCCAGTGTCAACCCCCACCCACCCCACTGCCGTCCAGGCCCTGATCTGGGCTTTGTCAGAGCGTGGGGTGACGGCCTGTTTCTACTGCCGTTTCTACTGTTTCTACTGCCTGTTTCTACACGTTCTCGCGTGTCTCCTGGTCTCAGCTCCCCACCTGGGCCCTAAGCTTGCTGCGGGTAGGGTGGGGCCACGACCTGCACATCCCCGTGTTGCCCTGTGAGCCCGGGTGCATGGCCCCGCTGCAGGAGGAAGCCCGTGACGGGCAGATCCCTGGCCTGCACTTGCTCACTGCATCCAGGCTCTGGCTCCACTGCTCACGAGCCGCATAATCTTGGCCAAGCTAAAACTTACCTAAGCCTTAGTTTCCACACCTAAAAAAGGGGAATTATAATTCATGTTCTGCCAAACACACATAAAAAGATTCTGAAAACCTAAAAAGCAGCTAAGTTTTCGTTATCATTTCATAATAGGGAAAACAAGGATCGTAGGCCCGATGGAGGTGCAGCCTGGACAGGAACCCAGGCCTGCTGGCCCCTCAGCTGCGGTGGACCCGATGGACCCTGCTGCCAGCCCTGCCCCTTCCTCAGGTGGGGAGGACTGGAACTTGGGTCTCACCTGAATCTCCTGTGCCCCTCGATTCTTGACAAACTTGTCCATCCTCTGGCGCAGGTCTCCCACAAGGGGCTGGGAGCGCAGGGAAACTCCAGCCTCCGGCCCTTCCTTCAGCTTCTTCTCCAGCATGGCGAAGCCATCCATCAGCTGGGACAGGACCAGGGCCAGGGGCGCGCTGGGGCTCTGAGGGAAAGGGCCGAGAGGCGAGTGAACGGGGCTGCCCCTGGGGAAGCCGTGCCAGCCCCAAGCGTCACCAGGGCAGGGTGAGGGGCTGTCCTACCCTGCTCAGGAGCACCAGGTTGATGCCCGGCCACAGCGGCAGGCAGTACATGGTGTGGGGCACTAGGGGGCAGTAGCTTTCCTTCACGTTGGCATCCAGGAAGATCCTTCTGGGGCTGGAAGGCGCAGGGCAGTGGGGAACCAGCGTTTGGAGGGTGTCCTCCGCTATCTACAGAGGAAGAAGAGTCGCAGTGAGAGGTGGGATCCCTAAGTCGGACCCACCCATTGCTGCCCTATCTGTGAACCATAAGAAATAAACATTTTTAGCTCTAAGAAACTCCGGTTTTTAAATCCCTGCACTCTGCTGAACCTGTCCTCGCAGCTCCAGTTCCGCTGTTGCCCCTCTCAGCTGCTTCTGGGCCTTTCTGCCCAGAGTCCGGCCCGGATGCCAAGCAGGGCAGTGGGCAGGGGCAGAGGGGCTGGGTGGTGGCACAGACAGGACCGAGAAGGCAGGGAAACACACTCGTGGATGGGGAGTGCGCATTTTCCACAGACGGAGGTACTAACGTTCAACATTGTATCATTTCAATCATCCTCAGAACATCCCAACAGCCACTCAAATTGGGGAAACTGAGGCATAAAGTGACCAAATGAGCAAGGCTCCAGCCTTACAGACGGATCTGAGTAAGAAAGCCTTTAGTTCTAAAAATTATAGAATTAAGGAAATCACGAGAGATGCCACAAAAATTCCTCTTTAGTATTACGTATAACAGCAAACACTGGACACAATGATGCGATTGTCCTGGGCATTTGTTAGATAAATAACATATGCATGTGATGGACTCCCAATCATTACAAACCACACTGTGAGACTGCTTAGGAAACGGAAGAATTTTAAATACAAAAGTATAATGAAGCATGTTAGCATCCAAATCTGATTTTAAAAATACACACGTGTACATATGTAGTGTGTGTGTGCGTGTGTGTGTGTGTGTGTAAAGTCACAGGAAAAAAAACTAGAAAGAAATACCCAAAGATGTTAATCTTATTTTGAGGACAGAATTCAGAGTAATTTTCATTCCCTTTTTTATAGTTTACTTTTGTATTTCCCAATCTTTCTACAATAAATATACACGCTCACTTAAAAAAAAATCAAACATTCTATTGGACTTTCACTCCCAAGAACAGTGGAGCTGAGGGACAGCACCTGGGGGAGGGGAGGGGCAAGTTCACCAGCCCTCACAGCCTGTCCCCGGACCCTGCCTCTGCGCTGAGCTCTGGCACCAGGACAGGCACCTGTACTGACCAGCCCTGGGGTGGGCCGGAGGAGGGCTGCCATGGGTAGAGTGACCCTGGAGGCGGAACCCTCAGAGCCCCCAACACTTACTGCGGCATCTCAGATCAGCTGGCGCCCAGGCAGACACCGGAGAAACTCACCTGAAGGGCTTCCATGGGTGGGGTGCCCCCCTCCAGCCAGATGGTGCTACCTGCAGGCCACAGGTAATAACATAACGATGTAAGTATCATGAGATGTAAGCAACGGCTCAACAGCACGGGGTAGGGGGCCCAGGTGTCCCCCACAACCTCCGCCCTTGGCTGCCAGCTCCACGTAGGGGTGGTAATGTGGCTGGGCAACACCCCTTCATCCTAAGTTGGCAGGCACAAGGTGAACTCTGCAGTACCAGGGCTGAGGCAGCCCGGGCCTGGCAGAGAAGCTGACCCTCCCTTGCTCCCTAATCCCCTCCTTGTTCTGTCCCGTGTATTCCTTCAGACCTCAACCCGCCCCTCAGGAGTCAGCACACGCGGTCCACCTTTGCGCACTCATTAGTCAACCAGCAAGCTCTTACTGAGCGCCTACTGTGTGCTGGGAATTGAGGTGGATTTCCTTCCGAATATAGCGCACAAAAACCTACTGAACCCACCACATATCTGAAATATTATGTGTCTGTAATAATACTGTTACCTCTTATATTTCATTACAAACAACCCTCATTTATAATCATGTTCCTCTGGGGGAAGTGCGTTCCTAGTCTTAAACACCTGATTTACAAATGGATGAGTGCAACCCAAGCCATTTGTAAGTTGTGAGTTCTGTGCACGGTAGAACAACATTATTTTTTACAGTTCTGAGGCATAAAAAACCACTGTCGAGAGAGAGGGACTGGGAGGAGGACGGTGATGAATGACGAAGAGGAACTTCGGAGATTACCCAGAAGCACTGCTTCTCAACAGGTCTCAGGCTTATCGAGAGCTCAGGGAATCTGAAGATAGTTAGGAACCCTCACCCCAGGAACTGCACAGGCATAGACGAGTTTGCACACAGTCTCAGGGGGTCCTAGGCTTCTAGCCAGTCCAAGGACCTAAAGTTAAGAGCATCTAACCCAGTAGTTGTCAACCTTGGCTACACATGACAATCATTTGGGGACCTTTACACAATCCTGACACCCAGGTCAACTGAGTCAGCATCTCTGGGCATAGGCTCAGCTTGAATGATTGTTAAAGATCCAAAGGTGAGTTCAATATGCAGCCAGGGGGCAAAGCATGCTGTAACCTAAATCTGTGCACAGTAGTGGTTTGCACCTGAGGCACATTGGACTCACCTGGGAAAATTTCCTAGAGGTATTCACACCTGGGTCCCAGACCCACAGACTGTAACTTAATTGGGCTGGTTGAAGCTGCCCGGTGATTCCAATGTACCAGGGTTGGGAGCCACTGGTTAAAAGAAGCCACATAATAAATTCCTTTCAAATCCTAGTCCCCAACAAGTTTCTCCTCCTGAAACCCTGGCCTTCTTTCTTCCATCAGATGATGTGGATGGACCACAGGATCCTTTTTTTTTACCTAAGAACTTCAGAAATAAATGTAATGCTCATTCATAGTGACCACAACAATCTGGATTTTGGTTTATCTACTTCTCTAAGCAAGGTTGTCTATTTTTTTTGTAACATTTTGAATATTTGTAGTTTTGTTTTTGTTTTTGTTTTTTTTTTGAGACAGAGTCTTGCTCTGTCGCCCAGGCTGGAGTGCAGTGGCATGATCTCGGCTCACCGCAATCTCCACCTCCCGGGTTCAAGTGATTCTCCTGCCTCAGCCTTCTGAACAGCTGGGATTACAGGCACCTGTCACTGTGCCTGGCTAATTTTTGTACTTTTAGTAGACACGGGGTTTCGCTATGTGGGCCAGGCTGGTCTCGAACTCCTGACCTCAAGTGATCTACCCGCCTTGGCCTCCCAAAGTGCTGGGATTACAGGCGTGAGCCACCACACCTGACCCATTTTGAATATTTATAGTTTTTTTTTTATTGTTTACCCACATACTTTGGAGAAACAGGTAAAGTATAAACTACAGAGGCTGAATATTTATATTTTAGAATGTATTGAAATGAGGTGATTATTACTTAATTTAATTTTTAATTACAAAAAAGAAAGATGAGTCTGAGAATGCATGTGCAAAAGTTTTAAACGATGACAATCAACTTGTCATCAACAGCATTAGGGATCAGTGGAGTGGTCTTAACAGTCCTTGAGTTCAGGCTGGAGCTGGCATGGAAGATGGGGAGCCGCAGACAGCGCCCTGTGTTCTAGGAACACGGGTACCTGCACTCATGTCTTAGGAGACACGGGGTCCACTGAAGCCTAAGACAAACGTCCTGGGCTGCTGATTGCTACTGCCACAGGCAGCTAGCTATTGTTTCCTCCTGCTTTCCTCCAGGCCTCACCTGAGCTCTGATCACCAGGGGAAGGAGCTGGTGTGAAGTACTCCTCAGGGAGGGAGAAGCTGTCTGTCTCCTGGAATGGAGAAGGTGGCTCAGGTTGAGAGGCTCTCCCAGCTGGCTCAACCCTGTCCCTGCTCTCCTGGGAGGGGCAGGAAAGGCCTGGTCACCTGCAGAGGCCAATGCCCTCCTGCCCCTGACTCCACAAAGTGCACAGCACGCACCGTCTCTGCAGAGCTCCCCCTGGTTGGGCCTGTGGAGTGAGGGCTCCACGCCTGCTGCACGGGGATGCTCTGGCTGCTCCGGGCTCTCCGTGGGGAAGGCTGTGCAGGGCAGGGGAGAGGCTGGTTAGCTCCTCTCTGACCTGGCTCCCTCCACCCCTTCTGCCTCCCAGCGCTTCACAGAGAAGCCCCCACCCCTCCACCCGTTCCAGGTGCTGTCCTGGGTGTGCGGTCCTCAGACTTCCCAGGGATTTGATTCTAGGCGGTCTGTTCTGTGGAAATTCCAGAAATTCCAACACACTGGTATCCAACCCACCACTACCCCTGGTGATGAGGTCAACAGCGATGGTGGTGGCTAACACTCACTGAGCATTCACTAGGCCCCAGGCGGTGCCGGGTTCCGTGGGAACCGCGCCTTTTGTCCCCTCCAAAAACTCCTGAGAGGTAGATGCTTTGTTATTCCCATTGCACAGATAAGGGCATTGAGGCTCTGGGGGTGCAAGTACGAGCTCAGCTCACACAGCCAGGTGGTGAAGCTGGGTTTCAAACCATGGCTGACTTGAAAAATCTGCACTTTGAACCCACTGGACCATGTGCACTCCAGAATTCCCCTTACATCTGAAAGCAGTGGGAAAGAAGTCACGCCCAACCACACACCCAGAATTGCGACTTAGATAACATGGAGTCCCCAGGGGGAGCCCCCCACCACTCTCCAGGCAGGTTTTCTGAACCACCTCCCCAAGGCCTCCCTCTGCCCAGAGAGCTGCCCTGAGACCTGAGTGTCATCCTCCACTGTGCTCTCGCTGGGGTAGAGGTCCTGAACCAGGAGGATGAGGACGAGCAGGTCGGCCGGGCGCAGGGAGCTGGCACTGTGGCTGCAGACATAGGAGCACAGCCACCCATCAGCACGTGCCCAGCAGGAGACGGGGCAGGCAGGTTAAAGGAGTGTGGAGCCTGGCCCCTGCCCTCAAGGAGCAATGTACTTAATCCTTTCTGGAGACGGGCAAGGCACAAACACAATTAATTAACTCATCAAATTTTAAAGTAAAACTTGGTTGTATAGAACAAAGAAAAGAAAATGATTTAGCAGTGGGAAAGCACCAGGGACTAAGAACAACATAAAAGGAAGTTCTAGATTGAGACTATAAGACAGTTTTCCAGGAAGGAATGATACAGAGAAGTGACTGAGCTGAAAAGGGTTGAAGAATCAAATCTGCGAAGGTTTCAGGCTTCATGGAGGAGGTGATTCTTGGCTGGGCAGGTGGTGCTTTTCAGGCAGAGGGAATAAGGGGAGTGGGGAGGCCAGGGAGACTTTAGCCACCACACGCCGGACCTTGAGCTCACCTAGAGTAGAATGCCAGCAGCTTGGAATGCACGAGCAGGAAGGCATGCAGGGCCTCCTCGCCGCCCCGCTCTGGGCTGGTGTTGACAGCCTGGATGACGTGCCGCTCCAGTGCCTCTATGCACAGCTCACAGAGCTGGGGGTGAATCAGCCGCTCCAGGGCCTGGCCAGGGCAGGCAGGGAGAGAAAGCCGTATCACCAACCACCTTGCCCCACTCCAGGCCCTGGGCTAGTGGGGACATTCACTGTCCACACTGAGCTTGGACTCTGTACCAGATACTTGGAAACAGGGGGACTAAGACCCACCAGGTCCCAGCCTTCCTGACGCTTACCGTCTGGTCACTAGACTCTAGTGGATGAGGCAAGGCAATATACAAGGAAATAAAGTTAAGTGCCATTTGTAAATAAGCACCAAGTACAAAATACACAGCACTGGGCTAGAGAGAAATAGCAGTGACCTCCTTGGGTAGGGTGTCCAAAGAAATGTCCCTGAATTAGGTCACCTTTAAACTAATATCTAAACAACCGGATGGCCCACCAGAGAAAGAGGGAGAGAGAGAACACTGCAAGTCAAGGAAACGGCATATTCAGAGGCTCTGAGGAGGGGAGAGAGTTTGGAATGGTGCTGTCCAACAGAAATAAAAGGTAGGCCCTATGCATAATTTAAATTTTTCCAGTGACCATATTAAAAAAGTAAAAAGAAACAGTTGACATTAATTTTAATGACATATTTCATTTTACTCAATATATCCAAAATACTATCACCACATGATACAAAAGCCTTATTAATGGAATGTTTTACATTCTTTTTTGTGCTAAGTTACCAAAATCTGGAATATATTTCACATGCATAGCGTAACTCAATTTGCACTAGCTGTATTTCAAATGTTCAACAGCCACATGTAGCTAATGACTATCATACTGGACAGATCTAAATACAGAGTTTTCCTGAAACTTAAAGAAGTTTCATGAGACTAGCACTCAGTAAGTGTGGACAAGAGAGGCATGAGATGAAGCTGGAGTGAGATAGGCAGCGATAGATCACACAGGGCCTGGTAGGCTTGGGAAGGAGTTTGGATTTTATACTAATGGCATTAGGTAACCTCCTACAAGAAGTCTTTCCTAATGTCCCAGAAAGAGTTAACCATTCCATCTCTTGTGCCACCATGGCTTTTGATGAAAAACCTAATATGGCACCCAGGATTCTTTATTATATCTTTTAGTATACACATGGCTGATTTCCCCTCAAGGGCAGTGAATGTGTCTTTATTCACCTCTTTATTCCCATGGCCTGGCACACTTCTTAGCATATAATAGGTACTATATGTTTATTGGAAAAGTGAATGAGTGGGGGTGTGAGAATCAATTCCTTCAGATCTATTTTCCAGCTCATTAATTCTCCCTCTAGCTATGTCTCATCTGCTATTTAACACATCCCTTGAGTTTTTCATTTTAACAACTACATTTTTATTTCTAAAATATTTGTATGGGTTCTTTTTCAAATTTGTCTGGCCAATTTAGAGTTTCTTCTTATCTCATTTTGTGATTCTACACTTCATATCTTTAAACATTTCATAGTTATTTTATATTCTATACTTAATAGTTTCGATGCATCAAGTGCCTTGGGATATAAATCTGCTGGTAATTGATTTTCCTGACTCTCCCTCATGGTGGCTTATTTTCTTCTATATCTGATTTTCTTCAGTTGTGAGTTCACATTTGTTTGATTGGTACCTTTCCTGCTTTAGCAGTGGTTTTCAAAGTGTGGTTCCTGGACCAGCATAATAAACAAACAGCACCTGGGAATTTTTTAGAAATGCAAGTTCTAGGGCCAGGCATGGTGGCTCACACCTGTAATCCCAGCACTTTGGGAGGCCGAAGTGGGCAGATCATGAGGTCAGGAGTTCCAGACCAGCCTGACCAACATAGTGAAACCCCATCTCTACTAAAAACACAAAAATTAGCCAGGTGTGGTGGCACGTGCCTGTAATCCCAGCTACTCAGGAGGCTAAGGCAGGAGAATCGCTTGAACCTGGGAGGCGGAGGTCACAGTGAGCCAAGATCGCTCCACTGCACTCTACCCTGGGCAACAGATCAGACTCCATCTCAAAAAAAAAAAAGAAAAAGAAATGCAAGTTCCAGAGCCCCCATCCCAGACTTGCTAAATGAGAAATGCTGAAAGTGAGGCCCAGTAACCTGTATTTGACAAGCCCTGCAGAGGATTCTGACACACGCTGGAGTATGAAAACCACTGCCTGCAAGAGAATTTGGTTTACCTCTTTAGGAAGCCAAGGAGTGCTACTGACCAGCAGCCACTTTAGTTTTTATTTTTAATTTTTTAGTTTTTTATTTACTAGGCTTTATAAAAGCACCAGTAGCCACTTTAACTTTTTGGGGCTGGGCTTAACCTAGAGTTGCAGGCTCAGCTCTCCTACGCTGCTGCTGGCTGTAGTGCTGATATCATTTGCACTCAGGGCAATCTTGCCTTTAGTGCTGTGTTTTTCTCCACTGCTTTCCCCTCCAGTTCCAGCTCAATATAATTTTGTGGGAGGAGGAGGGAAGGGTTGAAGGAACTGTCTTCAAAGATTTCTGTAATTTACAGTGAACCCAAAAATTACATTAAAAGTCTGTATTATTCAGGATCGAGCTGTTTTACCATGGGAAAGCCCATCAGAGTACACAACCCTCCACATGGCCACAAAGAACAACTTTCTCTGAATACATGAGTTTCAGGGGCTGCTTGTGCCTTCACTCATTAGGGTTAAAACATGGTCTTAAAGCTGGATGCCCCCTCTGACCTGACAGCTCCAAGTCCTGAGGACTCCCACGCCCAGTAGTCACCTCCACGGCGAAGCACTGCTCCTGCTCCCGCAGGCGGCTGTAGGTCCACAGCAGGCTCTGGAAGTGCTCCCACAGCTGGACACGCTGCCCCAGGTCTGGGGGCCGCAGCCTGGGGGCAGAGCCAGAGAGGGCGGGAGAGATCACAAGAAAGCTGGTCTCCCCCATACCCAACCGAAGGGCCACAGTCCCAGCTCAGCATCAGAGCCTGGTGAGCCCGCGTGACCTGCCCACACAGCTGGGAAAGGGGGCCAGGCTTCTGGCTGAGCTCTAGCTGTGGAGTGGGGTGGGATAGGCACGGAGCCAGAAGGCAGGCAGCTAAGCAAATCACCTCACTCCTCAACCTCTGTCACACAAACACATGTCATACAAAGCCAGCTAGAGAGAGCCAGGGTGATGCTTAAGCTTCTCACACAGAGGCCACTGAACACAGAAAGGTCTGGTCCATCATCAGGGTCCTACACAGGGTCGCAGCCATCTCGGATGCTGGCAAGGTCTGCACTAGCCAATGTGGTTCATGTAACAGGCATCCACCACCTGTAGTATTTGCCACTGAAACCATGACCTATCTGGGCTAAAATGACTCATGAAACAATGTTTGTGCATTTGAGAAATGCCTCGATATGGGTAGTTGCTCACATTGATACAAAACTCTAAAGTCCCAGAGTTTCATGCTCTGCAGTTTCCCAATCCATCTTAGAGAATCAAGGGGTGGTGATACCATGAACTTCTCTTTTCTAGGTCTACATTTCAACTACAAGCCTTTTCTGGGGTCCCTCCCACCTCAGTGTATACTTTGAACCATCATTCCCTTTCCCCAAGTTCTTTACTGTGGGCCCAGAGACAGGTTTTAGGGTCTGTCTCCTGAGAAAACCTTCACGAGACTGTATGAGAGTACACGGGCTTGTGTTTTTCTGGAGAGGCAGTCTGAAGCTTGAGAAGCCAGAGAGGACTAGCTCAGACCAGATTTGTAATGCAGGGCGACGATGTTGGGAGACTGGAAAGAGCACTGGACTGAGAGTCTTGAGCTCAGATTTCCAGTTTGGATGTGGCCAACCACCAGCTGGATGACCCCAGGCAAGTGAGTTCCATTTCCTGCTCTGTTTCACCAGATACAAAGTCAGAGGGTCGGACCAGATGATCTCCAAGGTTCAATTGAGCTCTGTTTGTCTGAACTAGGGACCCAGCTGGGGGCAGTGTGTGAAAAATGGCAGCTTCACAGGGGCTGGGCACACATTGCCTGGTCCAGCGAGGGTGCTCGGCAAAGGACAGAGGGGACCAGCTTTGAGGACTCACTCCTTTCGGATAAGCTGACCGTCCACAGTCACCAGCCCGAAGTGCACTTCGAACAGGTACTTGAGCACGTATAGCTTCCGCCGCAAGTCGCCCTCGCTCTCAGTGTGGTCGCCATTGATGGCAATGAACAGGCATTCTCCAAACTGCAGGCACAGGCAAGCCAGTGTCAGCCAGCCCCCAGGCACTCCCTTCACCTGCCCTAGTCTCTGCGGACAAGCCAGGGAAGGCTTGGGTGCCAGGGGGGTTTGATAAGATACCGTTTCTGCCTTCTAAAGGAGTCTAAAGCTCCAGATAAGAGAGGCCTGTGGACTCCCTATCGAGCGGAGGGAAGAGGAACATGGGCCCCAGAGCTACAGACTCACCAGGTGAAGGACATACAGGGAGTTGCCGTTTTCTGTGGAGAAGCAGGTGTAGGTGTCTGAGAGCTTCTCCAGCATCGTCATGGAGGAGATGATGACCGGGGCTAGGAGGGTGCTGAGCTGGTCCTCCAGGGCAGGGAGCTGCAAAAATGGGGGAAAATATCACTGCTTAGAGTGGGCCAGACAACAAGAACAAAGGAAAGGACAAGACAAGGCCTTGATATCAAGGGTTCCATAGTGTTAGATCCTCCTGGGAGGGTATCACTGTCCTGGTAGGGAGGGGGGCAAAAAGAGACTGCCCCCAACACTTTGGGTAGTGGTTAGGAAGAATGGGGAGGGCCAGCTGGGTAATGGTGCTGTTTAGGCTCTGAATCTGGAAAGAAACATTAAGGAATTGGGCCTCATTACAGTAGTGGAATGTGGGGAGCACTGAACGGGGAGCTGGAAGGAAGTTTGCAGCATGTACCAAAGTCTATGCTGTTTTTTGCAATAAGTTTACTTTGGAAAATTTGTCCTAAGGAAAATGATCAGAGATTAGGACAAAGACACATGCACAAAGATGTTCACTACTGCATAATTTATAATAGCAAACAACTGGAAAAAAATATAAACATCCAGGATCAGGGAAATAGTTAAATAAATAGCAGTACATCAAAATTATGGAAAAGTCTATAGCCACTTAAAATATTAGAGCGTTTCCCACATGTTCTCACTCATAGGTGGGAACTGAACAATGAGAACACTTGGACACAGGAAGGGGAACATCACACACCCGGGCCTGTTGTGGGGTGGGGGGAGGGATAGCATTAGGAGATACACCTAATGTAAATGATGAGTCAATGGGTGTAGCACAGCAACATAGCACATGTATACATACGTAACAAACCTACACTTTGTGCACATATACCCTAGAACTTAAAGTAAAATACACAAACACACACACACACACACACACATATATATATATATGAGTGTTTCAATGACAGGGAAAATTCCTCTGACACAATGTTGTAGTTAAAAATAAAACAAGAATGTGAATGCATAGAAAAAACGAAGTATTGATAAAATACTGAGAAAGCCATTTTATTAAAGTTACTTCTGGATAGAGGAATTAGGAGTGATTTTTTTCCCTCTATTTTAAAGTATATTTCTGTACTTTCCCTATTTTCCATAACAAGCCTGCATTGACTTTGATAAGTTCTTCCTCCATCCATTCTCTCAGCTCGCCGAAACAAGGAACAAAACAAATAAGAACAAAAAGGAACTGGACAAGTTTGTTGCAAATGTGTGAATAAAATGGGATAAAGCCAGTGGAACAGTTACAAATCAAATTCTCCATAGTGGAAAAAAAAGAAAGGAAGAAAACAGCAGATTTCCCAAGAGGATTTCAGGAGACGTGAATGAAATATGAGGGAGGCACAGTACTAACTTGGAGCTAGGGAAATCTACAAGGAGCTGAGTAAGACCTTGCCTTGAAAAGACCGGCAACTGGCCAGCGGGAAGGTGCAGCATTGAAGTACAAGCGGGACACAGCACTATGGAGTAAGTTTTCCTGCCAACATTCAGGAACCAAGGACTGTGCCCAGCTCCCACAGTCTGTCTGTCAAGCTTTCACAGTGGCTCCTACTCATCGTTCTGGCTCCAGCTCAGATTGTTTCTTTTTCTGGCCACCTCAGGCCACCAACCCCTGCCTCTGTCACTCCCATCCCATACCCCATTTAACTTCTCCAGACTATTTGTCACCACCTGAACTCATGGTACTTATTTGCCATCTGGTTCACTGTACAACATCCTTCTTTAGACTCTAAGTTCCATGAAAGCAGGGATCATGTTGCTATGTTCACTGCTTTACCCCAAGAGACCGGCACATGATAGGTTCTCAATTAATATTTGGTTAATGAATACCCCCACAGATAGGCAAGAATTCAATAAACAGGCAAGAATTCAATAAACAGGCAAGAATTCAAATATTTGCTGAATTATTCATATACCACGATTTTCTTGAACAAATTTTATTAATACAGAAGTCACTTATGAATCTAGATTTTGATAGAAACTCATCTTAAAAGCAGTATAGTCACGTACTGAAGAGCAATGTTTTGGTCAGCAACAGACCACGCACGATAGTGGCCCCGTAAGATTACACAAAGATTTTTGCTATACCTTCTCTATGTTCATTCAGATACACAAACATTTACCACTGTGTTACGACTGTCTGCAGTATTCAGTACAGTCACATGCTGTACAGGTTTGCAGCCTAGAAGCAACAGGCCATACTGTACAGCCTAGGTGTGTAGTTGGCTACACCATCTAGGTTTGTGTAAGTACACACTCTGATGTTCACATGACAAGGAAATCACCTAATGATGAATTTGTTATTAATAGAATGTATCACCATCATTAAGCAAGGCATGACTGTAGCTTTTTCTGTAGGAATAGAACTTTTCTTTGGTGAGGGGATGACATGGTCAGGCTTTGTGTCCCCCCCAAATCTCATCTTGACTTGTAATCCCCATAATCCCCACGTGTCAAGGAAGACCAGGTAGAGATAACCGAATCACGAGGTGGTTTTCCCCAGGCTGTTCTCAACTCGTTCTCATGACATCCGACGGTTTTATAAGGGGCTCCTCCCCACTTTGCTGGACACTTCTTCCTGCTGCCTTGGGAAGAAGGTGCCTTGTTTCCTCTTTGCCTTCCACCATGAATGTAAGTTTCCTGAGTTCTCCCCAGCCATGCTGAACTGTGAGTCAATTAAACCTCTTTATAAATTACCCAGTCTCAGGCAGTTCTTTATAGTGGTATGAAAACGGACTGACACAGTAAATTGGTACTGCAGGTGTGAGGTGCTACCTGAAAATGTGAAAGTGACTTTGGAACTGCATAACAGGCAGAGGTTGGAACAGTATGGAGGGCTCAGAAGAAAACAGGAAGATGTGGGAAAGTTTGGAACTTCCCAGAGACTTGTTGAATGCTTTTGAACAAAATTCTGATAGTGATATGGACAACGAAGTCCAGGCTAAGGTGGTCTCAGATGGCAATGAGGAACTTATTTGGAACTGGAACAAAGGTGACTTTTGTTAATGCTTTAGCAAAGAGACTGGCAGCATTTTGCCCCTGCCCTAGAGATCTATGCAACTTTGAACTTGAGAGAGATGATTTAGGGTATCTGGTGGAAGAAATTTCTAAGTAGCAAAGCATTCAGGAAGTGACTTGGGTGCTCTTAAAAACACTCAGCTTTATGCATTCACTAATAGATGGTTTGGATTGGGACTTACCTTTAAAAGGGAAGCAGAACATAAAAGTTTGGAAAATTTGCAACCTGATGATGCAATAGAAAAGAAAAGCCCATTTTCTGAGGAGAAATTCAAGCCTTGGCTGCAGAAATTTGCAAAAGTAATGAAGAGCCAAACGTTAATCACCAAGACAATGGGAAAAATGTCTCCAGCGCATGTCAGAGGTCTTCACAGCAGCCCCACTTGCCACAGGCCTGGAGGCCTAGGAAGGAAAAACTGTTTCAGGGGTTGGGCCCAGGGCCTTGCTGCTTTGTGCAGTCTGGGGGCATGGTGCCCTGCATCCTAGCCATGGCTAAAAGGTGCCAACATACAGCTCTGGCTGTTGTTTCAGAGAGTGCAAGCCCCAAGCTTTGGTGGCTTACATGTGGTGTTGGGCCTGCGGGTGCACATAAATCAAAAATTGAGGTTAGGGAACCTCCACCTAGATTTCAGAGGATGTATGGAAATGCCAGGATGTCCAGGCAGAAGTTTGCTGCAGGGGCAGAGCCCTCATGGAGAACCTCTGCTAGAGTGGTGAGTAAGGGAATTGTGGGGTCAGACGCCTCCACACAGAGTCCCCATTGGGGCACTGCATAGTGGAGCTGTGAGAATAGGGCCACCATCCTTTAGCCCCCAGAATGGTAGATACACCGACAGCCTGCACCATGCACCTGGAAAAGCTGCAGACATTCAACATCAGCCTGTGAAAACAGCCGGGAAGAGGACTGTACCCTGCAAAAGCACAGGGGTAGAGTTGCCCAAGGCCTTGGGAGCACCTCTTGTATAAGTGTGACCTGGATGTGAGACGTAGAGTCAAAGGAGATCATTTCAAAGCTTTAAGATTTGACTGCCCCACTGAATTTCGGACTTGCATGGGGCCTGTAGCCCCTTAGTTTCGTCCAATTTCTCCCATTTGGAATGGGAACATTTACCCAATGCCTATACCCCCATTGTGTCTGGGAAGTAACTTGTTTTTTATTTTACAGAGTCATAGGTGGAAGGGACTTGCCTTGTCTCAGGTGGGACTTTGGTCTTGGACTTTTTGGTTAATGCTGGAATGAATTAAGACTTTGGGGAACTGTTGGGAAGGCATGATTGGTTTTTAAATGTGAAAGGGACATGAGATTTGGGAGAGGCCTGGGCAGAATTATATGATTAGGCTTTGTGTCCCCATCCAAATCTCATCTTGAATTGCAATCCCCATAATTCCCATACTCCTCATATGTCAACAGAGAAACCAGGTGGAGGTAAATGAATCATGGGGGCAGGTTCCCCCATGCTGTTCTTGTGATACTGAGTTCTCATGAGATCTAATGGTTTTATAAGAGGCTCTTTCCCCTTCACTCAGCACTTCTCCTTCCTGCTGCCTTGTGAAGAAAGTGTCTTGCTTCCCTTCGCCTTTTGACATGATTGTAAGTTTCCTGACGCCTCCACAGCCGTGCTCAACTGTGAGTCAATTAAACTTCTTTCCCTTACAAAATACCCAGTCTTGGGCACTTCTTTATAGTGGTATGAAAATGGACTAACACAGGGGAGATAAAAATGTTTGGTGTATATAGAGTATAAAAGAGCATACTCATATATTACTTGGTGGAATTATAAAGTAGTACAATATCTTTGAACGGCTTTTGACTCAATATTTTTATTTTTAGGAATTTATCCTAAGGAAATAATCCGACATGAGATAAAATTTAAGCACAAATGTTCCTTAAAGCAAGAGTGATACAGCAAATTAGGAGCAATATATATGTCCATATGAGGAAAATGGTTAAATAAAGGATGATACACTGATTCATGTACTGGAGTATAATGTTTCCATTAACAATTATGCTTCTGAGACTATTTAAGAAAAGAGAAGAAATATCTTGATATAATGGCAAGTGAAAAAAAAAAACAGGCAGTAAAACTGTAAATGTGGTATAATCCCAATTATATAGAAAAAATAAAGACCCAAAGAAAGTATATTAAAAAGCTAATAGCTCTGGGTAGTGGAATTACAGGTCATTTAAAAACTATCTCTTTGTATTTCCAAATTTCCTACAATTAACTCATGTTATTTATATGACAAGAAAAGAATGTGTTGCACATTAACAACAACAACAAAAAAACTTTAAAGACCATCTTTCCTTTACACTACTCATTTTTAGGAACTGAAAATTCAGGAGTTCATTCTTTTGCCAGGTTTTCAATAAAGAGGAAGAGAAAGGCCACCAAATAGTTTGCTTCTTAAGCTGACATAGTTGTAACAATAGTTTAAAAACTGAAATACTTAAAAAGTCTTAATTTAAATATTGTATGTATTGACTGCTAAAAAATAAAGTCTAACAGTTAGCTTAAATAAAACCACTTGAATGTCTATGATCTCTGATATCTTGTGTTTGCGTAAAGACTGTGATGAGAACATGGGTGACACTGATGGTAAATGGACCCCCTGAAGTGGAGTTGGCTCACTCATTGGCTGGATGATGAGACCCCTTAGAGCAGAAAGGGCAAGATAGGCAACCAGTCCATGCTGCTGCAGAAACGTAAGAACACCTTCCACTGCATCCCCAGTAAAAAACATTTTTAACCCAAAATTAATCAGGAAAACATTTTCAAAATAAATTACTCCTTTAAAATATACAGTAGAAATTATGTAAGTGAAAATGACAAGTATTTCTGAGTTGTAATGTTAAAGTGTTAAACTGGATGTCCACATGCAAAAAAAAAAAAATTAACTTCAATCCATAGCTCACACCACACACAAAAATTCAAAGTAGATCATCAGACCTGATATAAAACCTAAAACTATAAAACTTTCAAAAGAATATGTAGAGAAAACTCTTTGTGAGTTGGGCGAAGATTTCTTAGATGTAACACTAAAAGCATAATCCATAAATGCAAAATGGACAAACACGAGTTCTAATACTTCTGCTCTTTGAAAGATACCATTGAGAATATAAACACAAGCCACAAACTGGAAGAAAGTATTTGCAAAACATATATCTGATAAAGGACTTCATCCAAAATATATCACAAGCTCTCAAAACTCAGTAAGAATAGTAAGAAGAAACAATCAACTCAAATAAAAACTGGGCAAAAGATATGGCAAATAAGCACATGAAAAGATGCTCAAAATCATTAGTCATTAAGGAAATGAAATTTAAAACACAGTGAGATTCTAGTGGACATCTATTAGAATGGCTACAATTAAAAAGACGGACCATAGTGTTGGTGAGGATATGGAGGAACTGAACTCTCAAACACTACAGCTGGAATCAAAAATTATACAACCACTTTGGAAAAGTTTGGCAGTTTATTAAAAAGTTGCACATGCACGTACATGATCTAGCCGTTCTACCCTAAGTATCTGTCCTTGGACGTGAAAGCATCCATGTATACATGGACTTGTACGTGCATGTTCATAGTTGCTTTACTTGTAATAGTCAAAAACTGAAAATAACACAGATGTCCATCAACAAGTAAATGAATGAACAAATGGTGGCAACCTGATACAATAGATTACTGCTCAATGAAAAGGAATGAACTATTGATACATGCCACAACACAGATGAATCACAAAATAATCATGCTGAGTGAAAGCAGTCAAACCAAAACCAAACTAAATCCAAGCACATACTGTATGGCTCCATTTATATAAGCCCATATAATACAAACTAACCTATCGTGACAGAAAGCAGATCAGCAGTTCCTACGGGATGGGGATGGGAAAGAAAGGATTACAAATGTTTGAGGTGGTAGATATATTCCTTTTATTGATTGTGATAGAATCATAGGTATATATACATATCAAAGCTTATCAAGTTGTATACTTTAAATATGTGCAATTTATGGTATGTTAATCATACCTTAATACAGCTATTAAAAAATTAATGTGTTCAGCTTACATTAAACTTTTTCATTTTTTTTTTGCTCTGTCACCCAAGTTGGAATGCACAGGCACAATCTTGGCTCACTGCAACCTCTACCATCTGGACTCAAGTGATCCTCCCACCTCAACCTCCCAAGTAGCTGGGACCACACCTGGCTAATTTTTGTGGTTTTTTTTTTTTTGTAGAGTCAGGGTTTTGCCATGCTGCCCAGGCTGGTCTCAAACTCCTGAGCTCAAGCAATTGACCCACCTTGGCTTCCCAAAGTGTTGTGATTACAGGCGTGAGCCACCATGCCCAGCCTTGTTAAACTTTTTAGGGTACAGAAACTGATGGCTCCAAGTTCCTCTGTTATGTGATTCAAATTCGACATCTTCTTGCCCTCACTTAGCCCGGAGAGCCCTGGTGGGGTGTGGGGGTGGGGTCATTGAGCTCAGAGCATCAAGAGGCAGACCTTGAGGATGAGGGTCTAGCTGTGAAGGATGCTGGACCCCACACAACACGCTGCTCATGCTGCCCAGGACAGGGTGAACACAGGTTTTCCTGCCTCTCTGCCTGCTGGTAGTTTTGTATGGTTCCTTCCTATCCACCCCTCCTGGGACTGCCTACCCTGCACTCACCTCTTCTTCCTCATTCTCTGACTGCCCGAACTTCAGCCGGAGACTCTCTTCAAACTCGTCATCTGTCCAGTAGAAGAGGACCTCTGCACCCTCAGTGGCCACCAAGACGCACTTCATCTGCCAGGGAAAGGCAAGGTCAAGGTCAGCCCCTAGCCCCAACATCCATGAGCACAGCCTGAGTAACGAAGAGGACCCCAACCCCAGCAAACATTCAGTGAGCCCTTTCTGCACACCAGACATCACAAAGGCCTTCCATTTTTGTTGCACCCTCACAACTGGACAAAGTAGGACTCTTTAGGTACTCCCATTTTAGAGAGCAGGACACAGGCACAGCCTGAAGTGGCAAAGCTGGAATCCAGACCCAAATCTGTTTGATGCCAAGGCTGGGGCTCTTTCCTCTGTGGTATCTAGTCCCTCTCAGCACAGCATCAGACCCACCACAGGGCCTACCAGAACCAGACTGGAACAGGAAGGGACCCAGGTCTTGGCCTGGACATGGAGCCGAATGCCCAGGGAGGCCATGCTCACAGCAGACAGTGCCTGGTGTGGATTGGAGGGCGCTGCTGCACCTCCATCTCTGCGCAGTCCAGAGATATCTCTCCCTCAGATAAAAACAGTTCCAGGGCCAGGTGCGGTGGCTCACGCCTGTAATCCCAGCACTTTGGGAGGCTGAGGCGGGTGGATCACCTGAAGTCAGGAGTTTGAGACCAGCCTGGCCAACATGGTGAAACCCTGTCTCTACTAAAAATACAAAACTTAGCCAGGCATGCTGGCAGGTGCCTGTAATCCCAGCTACTCGGGAGGCTGAGGCAGGAGAATTGCTTGAACCTGGGAGGCAGAGGTTGCAGTGAGCCGAGATTGTGCCACCGCACTCCAGCCTGGGGGACAGAGAGAGACTCTGTCTGAAGAAACAAACAAACAAACGAGCAAAAAACAGCTCCAGAAGACGAGCCTCAAAGGTCCTGAATTTATTTCAGCACCACAGAATTTCATTCAAATGCTGCTCTCCCTGCTCATGGTGAGAACAGAGGCTGCCTAAAGACCCTGTACCTAGTAGGCTGCAGCTTCTAGGGCCACAGCTACCAGTGTCTTCAGCCCTCCCAAATCTCCTTCCCCACCCCCTGCCACACACACACCACACACTCTGTGCTTGATTGTGTAAGGAACGTCTTAACTATTCACCCACTGGAAGATCTTTCATACAGCTCCCCACACTGTGTGCCGTGGCCCTCTGGGTGCGGCAAGCGCTTAGCTTCTAACTCTTGGGGCAGCGCTCCAGGCTGCCTGCTGCAGCTGAGAGGCCTCAGGCAGTGGTTTCAAATCCTCTTATGTGCCTCAGGGTGTCATGCAGATATAATCATGTGGTATGTGTGCTAAGCCATAACAATGATTAGGAAGCTCTGCTGTAACTCTCACACATGCGGATTTCCAGTTTTTTTGGGAGGATCATAGCATCTCCATGTCTTGTGTTCTGTCATTCCCAGGTCCAGCTTAGTGGTCCTTACTGAATTCCTCCCAAACTAACTCGGTGCAACTGGTCCCAAGGTGTTTATGGTGAATGCCAGGAGACAACAGCACAGTGAAGGAGGAATGCAGGCTATTCCCACAGAATTACTCAATGCCAAGGCAGACACTGACAGTGCAACAGGTGTGAAGAGGAGGTTGCTGGGAGAGGCAGGTGGACCTGAAGAGGCTTCTCTGGGACTCCCAGGTATATGTGACAAGGCTGACCAGAGTGTATGGGTTAGGGAGCAGTGGGCTATGGAATGGAGGCTGTGGTTGTGAGCAGAGAAGTGACCGGCTGGCTGGAGATGGGCAGGTTGAGGTCATGAAGGCGGTCATCTAGGTGCAGGTGTCGGGTAATGAGTGCTCACCCCTTGGTGGGGGCCGGGAGGAGCTTTAAAGACTCAGCAGGCTGTGATGACCCACCTGGATGCGAGGGGTGAAGGAGAGATGAGGCATCAGGATGGGGGTGGCCTCAGGATGCAGGGCTGGGGAGGGGATGAGCAGGTCTGCAGAGCTCAGGAGCACTCAGTCCACTGCCTACCTCATTCCGTCTGCCTCCCAGTGCCCCAGGGTGGATGCTGCCTGCCTCCCTGTCCTCCCCAGGTGGGGCAAAATCATCTACCTTGGCAAGGAGCACAGTGGAGCATCCAGACAGTCAGAGGTTCAGAAAGGGCTGCAGCAGAGACTTGGGGACTAGTTCATGGGAGAGCAGCACGGCATCCCTGGTCCTGCAAATGCTTAAAACAGAGAGAACATGAGGGCAGACAGATGCCCTGGTCCTGACTGCTGCCCGTTGGGAAAGGACAAGCTGGAGAAGGGCTGCGTGGTCCCTGGTCTCTCCAGGCCCTGAGGCAGTCTGCTAAGAACATATCCGGGATCCTGCCCCTCACCTCCCATAATGGAGAATAGGAAGCCGGCCAGCACAGCCCTTTGTACAGAGCAGGTGCCCACTTTTGTTCCTTCCTCCTTTGTTCCTACGAAGCGCTCTCACTTCTGTGGGTCACACAGAGGTCCCCAAGCAGCCCCAGGGAGCTCGCTAGGAGTGACTGACCGGAGACAGCATAGCACACCCCAGGCCGCGAGGATGCAGTCCCAGTGAAGGGAGTGGGGATCCTGGGATGATGCGATGAGTGGAAGGAAACAAACAGGAAAGACATCTGGGACCGGGTTCTAGTTTTGGCTTTGCCAAGTCGCATAAACCTCTTTGAGCCTCAAACTCCCACGGAGAAACAGAGCAACATCCCCTACTCTACCTCCCTACAGGGTTAGATCACGGGAGTGACCAGGCAAGCTGCAAAGTAACCTTAGCAAACTGCTTTCTTAAATAGGTGTGGGGATCATTATTCCTATTTCCCAGCTTCCCTTCTTCAAATAACAGGATTAACCAATCTGGTTCCAGAATCTTTCATATTTGGATAGAAGGCAGGAACAACAGAAAACTTAATTAGGAAGTCAAGCACTGTGAGCAAGTAAGAGGCAAGTGACTACCCGCCACAGAGACTGCTGTTAGGAGTTCGGCCTTTAGCAACCTAACCCTGAGACGGGCTCCATCACCCACATGATTGGCCCGAATGCCACATTCCCGAAACAGGGGGATGCTTCCCAAAGGCTGCTGGGAAGAGAACCTCGCCGGTGAAACGTTGTGACTTCGGCTTCACCTTGCTATCTTGCCCTAGAAAGGGAACTCGGAGGGGACTCACTGGCGAAGGGTGCTCCAGATGGCGGAGGGAGGGCCAAGCTGGGGCGACCCCCAGAGCGCACTTTCACCATCTGGACTCCAGCAAACCTCCCTGTAGCCCTTGGTCCCGCCTTCAGCAGCTCCTTCTGGGGTCCCACACCTTCGGAGCCCGGCCCTGTCCCCGAGTCTCTGCAGAGAGCGAGTCAGCGGCTCCCGTTTGCCTAGCACGCCAGTTTCTGTCGTTTCACCCCCAAATCCCCACCTCTCCCCACCCCTGAACCTCACGGCCATCCTGGGAAGGAGGCTTGACTTGTGACATCCGCCCCTCTTCACGGCTGAGGAACTTTGGCTCCGAGCGAGGAAGCGACCGGCCCACGACCACACGCCCGCAGTGGGTGAGGCTAGGGGTGGGTCCGCTCCGGGACCCCTAGGGCCCCTCCCCCACTTCCGGGAGGGTTGCGAGGGGCTCTGAGGAAGGATCGCCGCCCCGGGAGGGGACTGCCCGGAGACCCACGTACCGGATCGCGGCGCGCACTGCGCCCCGCCTGCAGGAGCCCGGGCGCGCTTCCGGGTAGGACCGCGTGATCGCGCACGTGACCTCCCCGCCCCGGGAGGGGCCGGAGCCGCCGTCGCTTTCCGCGGGTTCGAGCCCCGCCCCTGCCAGGCCTTGCCCATGCCCCGTTTTACAGAAGAGGAAACGGAGGCTCAGAGAGAAAAAATAACTTGCTGAGGGGCCGAACCAGGCTCAGAACCCAGGTTTCCTGGCTCCTCAGCTGATTCCTTCTCTCCTCCCCTTGCCCGGAACCCCAGGCTTTGCTTAATGAACTGAAGTTCTGGGGTTAGAGCTGTCCTTTTGTGACTGCTCTTCCTAACCTTTGGGGAGGTGACACAGCGCACAGAAGGGCTCAGTTGCCCCCAGAGTCCCAACGCTGGAATTTCTTTATAGAAGTTTTCAATCTATTTTGGGAGCAGAGTGCACATTAGGAGTTTTGTGTTGAACCTATGTTTGCAAGATTAATTTTAAAAAATGGTATGTGTATTGGGGGTGGCTGGAAGTGGAGGGGCATTCTGTTAATAATGGAAGGGGCTAAATTCCCGAACAATCCACCCCTCAGTGCCTGGGTGCCACCTGGGAACTCTGAGCCCAGCCCAGCGGGGTATGGGTTGTAGGAACTGGCTGGAGATATAGTAGATTGAGCATCCCTTGGGGGAAAGGCAGAGGCTAAGAATCAATACCTCCACCACCTGCAGATCAAAGCGAGCATCACTCCCCACAACCCACTACCCACCCCTTCCAGCCCTAGGGCAAATTCTTCCAACTCCCCATCCACAGCACATAGCCCTGCGGCAGGCATCTCTCTCCCCAGCCCACCATTGAGATCCTTCACTCAATATGCTTTCAGTGGTTGAATGAATTCCATTAAATGGATATGCTATTATTTACTTATTCATTCCCTACTGGTAGTTTCCATTTCCCAACAGCAATGTGTGAGGATTCTGATTTCTCCACATCCTCATCAATGCTTGTTATTGTTAATTTTCTTTTTAAGTATAGTAACCCAGTGTGGAGTAGTATCTTGTGATTTTCATTTGCACTTCCCTGACGTTCAGCATCTTTTCATGTGCTTTTTGCCCATTTGTGTACCTTCTTTGGAGAAATGTCTATTCAAATCCCTTATGCATTTGTCACCCAGGCTGGAGTGCAGTGGCCGGATCTCAGCTCACTGCAAGCTCCGCCTCCCGGGTTCACGCCATTCTCCTGCCTCAGCCTCCTGAGTAGCTGGGACTACAGGCGCCTGCCACCTCGCCCGGCTAAGTTTTTGTATTTTTAGTAGAGACGGGGTTTCACCGTGTTAGCCAGGATGGTCTCGATCTCCTGACCTCGTGATCCGCCCGTCTCGGCCTCCCAAAGTGCTGGGATTACAGGCTTGAGCCACCGCGCCCGGCGCCCTTATGCATTTTTAAATTGTCTTTATTATTGAGTTGTAAAAGTTATTTATATGCTCTGGATACAAGCCCCTTATCAGATACATGATTTGCAAAAAAAATTTTTTTTCCCATTATGTGGCCTGTCTTTTCACTTTCTTAGTGGTATCATTTGTAGCACCAAAGTTTTAAATTTTTATGTAATCCAGTATAATCTATTTTTTAGTTATGTGCAGGCTTTTTGTGTCAATATGTTTCTTTTTTTTCAAATTTGTTTGTGGTAAAATACATATAATGTAAAATTGATCATTAAGCATTTTAAGTGCACTGTTCAGTAGTATTAACTGCATTCCTAATGCTGTGCAGCCATCACCGCCATCCATCTCCACAGCTCTTTTCATCTTTTAAAACTGAAACTATATCCAGTAAGCAATAATTCTGGCCAGGCGCGGTGGCTCACGCCTGTAATCCCAACACTTCGGGAGGCTGAGGCGGGTGGATCACGAAGTCAGGAGTTCGAGACCAGCCTGGCCAACATGGTGAAACCCCATCTCTACTAAAAATACAAAATTAGCAGGGTGTGGTGGCGCACAGCTGTAGTCCCAGCAACTTAGGAGGCTGAGGCAGGAGAATCGCTTGTACCTGGGAGGCAGAGGTTGCAGTGAGCCAAGATCGTGCCACTGAACTCCAGCCTGGGCAACGGAGCGAGGCTCCCATCTCAAAAACAACAACAACAACAACAACAACAACAATAATTCTTCATTCCTCTTCATAGCAACCACAATGCTACCTTCTGTCTGTATGAATTTGACTACTCTAAGTACCTCATGTAAGTAGAATCATACAGTGTTTGTCTTTTTATGACTGGCTTATTTCACTTAGCATAATATTCTCAAGGTGCATTCATGTTGTAGCACATGTGAGAATTCTTTCCTTTTTTCTTTATTTTTAAGCCTGAATAATATTCTGTTGTCTGTATATACTATATTTTGCTTATCCATTTATCCGTTGATGGACAGTTGGGTTACTTCCATTGTGTATAAGGTCGTTATGAACATGAGTGTACAAATATCTCTTTGAGACTCTGCTTTCAATTATTTTGGGCATATACCCAGAAATGAAACTGCTAGATCATATGGTAATTTTATTTTTAATTTTTTAAGGAACTACCATACTGTTTTCCACAGCAGCTGCATCATTTTACATTCCCACCCACAGTGTACAAGGGTTCCAGTTTATCCACATCTTTGTCAACACTTGCTATTTTCTTTAAAATTTTTATAGTGGCCATCCTAATGGGTGTGAGGTAGTTCAACGTAAGTTTATATTTCTCTTAGGTAAATATGTAGGCATGGGATTGCTGGGCTGTATGGTAAGTCTATGTTTAAATTTCTATTAAACTGCTGAACCATTTTCCAAAGTGGATGTACCATTTTACATTCCTCCTAGCAACACTGAGAGTTGTAATTGCTCTGTAGTCTTGTTAGCACTTGATACTGTCCTAGTAGGTATGTGGTAATATGTCAAGTGTTCAAATCTTTTGCCTATTTTAAAATTGGATTGTTTGTCTTATTATTTATTTGATTTATGTGTTTGGATTCAAGCCCTTTATTAGATCTTTTTTCCCCAGTCTGTAGCTTTGTCTTTTCCTTTTCTTTACAGTGATTTTTGAAGAGCAGAAATCTTTGTGCATTTTGTGTCCTATGTAGTCTCTGCTTAGCCAGGGTCACAGAGATTTTCTCCTGTTTCTTCTTTTTTGCAGAAATTTAATAGTTGTAGATTCTGTCTTTAGGTTCACAATCCATTTTGAGTTAATTTTTGTGTATGATGTGAGAGAAGGTTGAGGTTTTAGTTTTTTGTTTTTGTTTTTTTTGTTTTGCATATAGATGTCCAATTTTTCTAGCACCATTTGTTGAAAAAAAAAAACCATTTTCTTGGCTGGGCACGGTGGCTCATGCCTGTAATCCCAGCACTTTGGGAGGCCGAGGAAGGCAGATCATCTGAGATCAGGAGTTCGAGACTAGCCTGGCCAACATGGTGAAACCCCGTTTCTAGTAAAAATACAAAAAAAATTAGCCGGGCTTGGTGGCATGCACCTGTAATCCCAGCTACTCAGGAGGCTGAGGCAGGAGAATTGCTTGAACCCGGGAGGCAGAGGTTGCAGTGAGCTGAGATCATGCCATTGCACTCCAGCTTGGGCAACAAGAGTGAAACTCTGTCTCAAATAAATAAATAAATAAATAAATCTTTTCTCCATTGAATTAATTACCATGGCACAGTTGTCTCAAATCAATTGACCATCTGTGTGTGAATCTATTTTTGGAGTCTATGTTGTTCAATAAATTTAAAAGGATTTTATTGATTTTCTTAGAGGCAGTTTTTGGTTTAATCAATTTTTATTGATTCTCTGTTTTTTAATTCATCAATTTCTGTTCTGATAGTTACTATTTCCTATCTTCTGTTTACTTTGGGTTTATTTTTTTTCTTCTTTTTAATAGTTTGTTAGGGTAGAAACAAAGGCCATTGATTTGAGAGCTTTTGTCTTTTCTAATGGAGTTTAGTGCTGTAGATCTTCCCCAAGGTACTGCTTTATCAGCATCCCACAACTTTTTATCTGCTGTGTTTTCATTTTCAATTACTTAAAAATGCTAATTTTTCTTTTGATTTATTTAGAGTATAGTTCAGAGGTCAGCTAGATATTTGAGTGTACTTTGTACCAGCTTTTTAAGTTTCTCCCACCTGTTCCCCTTCCCTCTCAATTCAATTTTCAGCTGCTCTGGTAGTCTTGAACACCAATGTCACTCCACGGCCTAATATAATAGCTGCTTGCTGATGGACCTTGCTCTCTGTTGTGAACTAGGGGAATTCCTTCAGGAGAAAAGCCAAATAAATGTAGATATCACCGAGTGTGATTTTCTTCATTCAAGAGCTGTATCTCCTGCAGTTTCTGCCTGCTCTTTGCTGTTTTGCATTGTCTTCAAAGAATTGTTTTTTGAAATTTTGTCTAAGGTTCGTAAGTGTTATTGGCAAAAGGGTTAGTCTGATATAACTTTAACATTATCAGAAATTGGAAGTTTTTCTGCACATTTATATATGCAGTATTTTCCATTTAGTTTAAAATATTTTCTAATTTTTATTGTGATTTCTGATTTTTTTCTCATGGAATATTTAGAAGTGTATTTCTTAATTTTCAAGCACAGGGAGATTTTCTAGTTTCATATCTATCTATCTATCTATCTATCTATCTATCTATCTATCTATCTATAATTTCCACTTATATTCCACTGCTGTCAGAAATACATTGTATGTTATTATTATTTGAAGTTTTTTGAAACTTTATGTCACAGTATATAATCAAGTTTTATAAATGTTTTGATGTGTTGTTGAAAAAGGACTTTATTCATTTGTTGTAATGTTCTCTATATATCATTTAGATAAAATATGTTAATTGTATTGTTTAACTCTTTTCTATTCTTTCTGATTTTTGCCTTTTCTCTCATTTTCTGCAATAAAAGTTAAACATCTATTATAATTGCAAATTTGTCTATTTCTCCTTTTATTTCTGTGAGTTTTTTTGCTTCACATATAGAAGATGTCATTAGGTACATGCAGATTTATAAGTATATATCTTACTGTTAAATCAAAACTTTCATCTTTACGAAATGTCCC